AAGAGGGCATGTTCTGCATGGAGCACTGGGTGTTATGCACAAACAATGAATCATGGAACACTACATCAAAAACTAATGATGTAATATATGGTGATTAACATAACAATAAAAAAATTTTAAAAACTAATGATGTATGGTGATTAACATAACAATAAAAAATTAAAAAGAACACACAGGCATACCTCAGAAATACTGCAGGGCTGGTTCCAGACCACCACAATAAAGCAAATATCACAATAAAGAGAAAAAAAAAAAAGAAAATAAAGTATTGTCATATATTCTTGTAGAGGAGTAAACTCATATAGCCTGTGTAAAGAACAGCGTGTTACTGTATCTGAACTCCCAAGTTCACTGAAGTCAAAATGTGGAAACAACCTAAATGTCCAACAAGTGAATGGTTAGAGAGAATATGGTGTTTATGCAATGGAATATCATTAAGCCGTAAAAAAAAAAAAAAGGAAATCCTGCCATTTGCAACAACATGGATGAACCTAGAAGATATTCTAAGGGAAATTGGCCAGACACAGAAAAACAAATACTACATGACCTCACTTATATGTGGAATCTAAAGTAGTCAAACTCATAGAAGCAGAGATAGGATGGTGGCTGCCAGGGGGTGGAGAGAGGGTTAATGGGGTGATATTGGTCAAAGGGTACAAAGTTTCATATATGCAGGATGAATAAATTCTAGAGATCTAATGTATAGCATAGTAATTACTGTATTGTATATTTGAAATTTGCCAAGAGAGTCGATCTTAAGTATTCTCACCTGGCAGGGGAGGGGGGTGGTGCAGAATACAAGACTCCAAAATATACTATTTGGCATGTGGATTATTTTGAGCTAAAGGCAATGAGACCAAGCAGCCTCAAGAAAAACTTTTACCTCTCCCTTAACTACGTAAAAGAATTTAGATTGGGGGCCTGGCTCAGAAAGAGAGCTATTACCAGAGATAACTTTTTATCTGAAAGGCCTATCTATATGGCAGCATAAACATCAAACTATCAAACATTTGCTCTTCTTATCATCCTGTGAATGACCCTCTTTTCCTTTGAAGCTCCAGGCCCATCTAATTCCTTAGTTCAGGATGACGTATAAGCCTCAACTGCCTGACTTGCCCTTGAGTCTTATAATTTGGGGACTCCCCATACATGTGAAATTATATTTGTTTTTCTCCTGTTAATCCATCTTATGTCAATTTAGTTATTAGGCCAGCTAAAGAACCTAGAAGGGAAAAAGAGAAAAATTTTCTGCCCCTACACACCAAAAAAGAAGAAAACAGAGGAGGAGGAGAAAATGGTAATGATGTCAGGTGATGGGTATGTTAATTCGCTTGATTGTGGTGATCGTTTCAACAACATATACATATATTAAAACATCAAGTTGTACACCTTAAATACATACAATTTTTATTTGTCCATTATACCTTAATAAAACTTTTCAGGGAAAAAAAGCACTCATCAGGAAAAAGGTCAGTAAGAATCTTTGCCATATCAATATTACTCCAGCATCATTATTAATTTTTCCATGTTCATTAGGTGGTCAGGTATTTTTAGGTTATCAGCATATCCCAGGTTTCCATACACCCCTTCTGTCTTGTAAGAGGGTTCCACAGTAGACACCTACTGGTAATATCTGCGGCAGTCACGGTCTCCTGGCTGAAGCTGATTGGACTAGGAGATTATCACTTGACCTCCTTAGGCCGATCAGATTCTCTCTCATGGGACTCTGACTAGAAGTAAACACTGGCCCTGGACTGACTCTTAAATCAGAAAGATTGGACTTGTGTGTTATGGGAAGACTTTTTACCAGAGAAACTGAGAAAGCTGGCCTGCATCTGGGTCCAATCATGAAGAGACAAACAGCACAGTAATAAAATTAATTTTTTAATAAAAAGAGTCATTAACTGTAACAGAGAATTGGCATAATGAGAGGTTGGCTACAAAGAAGGATAATGAGAGGTTGGCTACGAAGAAGGATAATGAGGGGTTGGCTACTAAGAAGCTACTAAGAACCTCCAAAGAATACAGGACTAGCAGAAATAAGGAGCAGGCTCCACCCCTAGGGCTGAGATGTGCTGCCCAAGGAAGAGGCTAACCCCAGGACTAAGAGTCAGACCTTGTTGGCCTGGCATCACTGGACGGAAAATGAAAAGAAGTTACTGTGTTTCCACACCAGTGGAACTTGCTGGAAATCCAACTTTTGTTCTTGGGGAGTATCTCACAGGAGGTACAACATTATAAGACCAGCTGGATCCTGGGCAGGGGATGGGGATGTTGGAGAAGGTCATCAAGAGGATGCGACTGCTAGTTGACCCTCAAGCTGGGTCCAGGCTATGAGAGGCTCTTCCCCCACTCCCGTGTCCTTAAAATGTGCATTCCACCTGTCTTCCCCACCAGGAGCTTCAGGGAGCTCTTGACAGAGCAGTGGGTTGTTGAGACCATCTGGACAGGTGATGTGACTGAACCCAGTTAAGGCCTCTGTGTAAACTTTTTAAGATTTTGCTAGTGGATGTGGAGATCTACTTGTCTCACAGCCACCCGACAAGCCTCATAAGTAAGTTCCCTCGCTTATTAAATCTGCCACCTACCGAGCTGGAGTGGTCTACCTCTTTCCTTGGTCTCTCCTTGCCCTCCCTGTAGGGGGCCAGCTTCAGATCTCACCCAGGGAGGTCCTGAGGTTGCCAACTACAATTGGAGAGCCATCCCAGGTGACCAAAGAAATGGGCCTTAGGAAAGAGGCACCTTTGGGACCATCCCAGATGGGCATCACTTGTATGTGGGGAAGGGAAAATGTACGCCGGCTACTTGGTGACTGCCACAGGGGTACAGGGATGCCCAGAAAAGGCAGGCTGGTCTCATGCGCTCGTGAAGGAACTATGGAGAGTGTACTGCAGTGGAGAAGAGAAGTGTGTGGCTGTGCCGGGGGCTGCCCCCCCCCCCCCCCCCACCGCAAGCCTGACTACAGGCTTGAGTTAGAAAGTGGGAAGAAGAGCCGAGGCTAGAGAAGGACTGCAGGTGTCCACTCTGCTCCCTGCAGGGCTTAGTTTCCTTTTCGCAAAGCTGCCTCGGACTAAGGTTCGAGGGCTTGTGACAAAGCCTGATTTGGACACTTAGGCCTGGGATCCCTGAGAAAGTAAGCAGAGCAAAGAGGAGGACATTGTGGCGACGGACACTGAAGTGGAAGAAACACTCCGCGCTGACGGAGTCCTAAAACAGAGGAGACCAAAGCAGCGCAACATCAACCCCAGCCAGCAGGGCGGCCCCAGTTCAGCAAATGCTCGTGAGGAGCCTATCAATATAGCTACCAAGTTCCACAGACGTCAGGAGAAAGTAGCCAGGCATGGCTAGTGTGGCTATGGGATATGGGGCACGATGCATTTCTCTGGACAGGAGACAAAGAAAATGAGCAACATCACCATACACCCTGCCCTTCGGCAGCATCTGCATGGCACTCGGGCTTCAAGGTACTCACTCCTTCACAGATCGGATTACTCCAGGCTTGGTCCAGTTAAGGGATCTCCCTGGCACATGGGACCCTGCACATCTCTATGGAGGTACAGATTCTTAGGAGTTGGACATGAGACCAGCAATCTATGCCCCTGTCTTTGAAAGCCCTGAGTGGGCCACATTCACTGCAGAAATGGAAACCAAGGTACTCCATCTGTCCCCAGCACCTGCTATGGGACACTCATATCCATGCTGAACCCAGTCAAGGGACAAGACATTTACGATGTTGGGTGATCATTTGCTGGTCTGGGGGGAAACTGGCAAATCCCAGAAACTGGAATGGGCTCTGGGAAAGAGCTGAGACAGAGCGGGAGCTCAGAATGCCAAAGTCTATCCCAATCAGCTGTGAAGAATGTGATAAAAGTAACCAGAAAAAATATGTTCGACCTCTTTGCTGCCAAGACCCCACCTAAAGAGATGGACCAGCAACCCAGTGCTATGTTGGTTGATCTATAGAAAACCTTAAAATCTGAACAACAGTTCAGGCCTGCCCTATCTGTCCCTACCATCCCTGATGCCCCTACCTGCTCCAGCAGAGGCCTCAGGGATACATTCCTATTTGGAGTGGGTGCCTCCCATGCCCCACTTACAAAATACAAGCCAAGACTGCCTCCAGGTGAGGGCCATTAGAGGCAACCAGAGGCCTCATGTTGGGCTCACTATTTACTAGTCCCCTAGAAATTAACAAAAGATGGCAGCTCGGGTTGCTACTGGAGCAAAGTGTGCTGTCATTCACAGTAACTCTCAGAAGTTTCCTGGCCCCCTCAGTGCCATCAGTGGTTAGGGAGGGCAAAGAATTATGCTCAAAAAAGTCCCTTTGACACTGCAAACTAGGAGTTCTCCACAATGAGACCTGGTATCCCTTCAATACCAGAGAATATATTGGGCATATCCTACAAGGTCAAACTCTGCAAACCTCCGTCAGTAAATTCCACCTCTGGGTTGGAGTAATCAAACCAGTGCTGAGGGGAAATGCCAACTGGGAACTAGTAAGTCTACCATCCATGAGAAAAATGGTAATTGTCAAATAGTATAAATTGCCTGGGAACATAAGGAAATAGGAGAACTATCAAAGAACTGCACCAAATCGGTATGACATGCTTTGCCCATAGTGCTTTCAACAGCCCAGTATGGCCAGATGGCTCATGGCAGATGACCATGGACTCCCAAGAAACGAACAAGATAATGCCACCCATCCATGTGGCTGTGCCCAACACTGCCACCACATTAGATACTTTGGCCATGGTCCGAGGAGTGCACCATGCTGTACTGGATTTAGCAAATGCCTTTTTCAGTATATCCTTTGCTGCTGAGTCACAAGATCTATTTGCCTTCGTATGGGAGGGGCAAAAATGGACCTTCCCGAAGGCTACCTCACAGCCTTCCAATATGTCATGGGATGGTAACATGAGACCTGACCCTGTTCTCCTTCCCCACAACAGTACAATGGGCCTATTACATCAATGATATAATGTTAACATGTGGAGACTCACCTCTGCTGCAGGACACCCTGAGGATTTTGCTGGAACATCTGCAAGGGAAAAGATTAATTCACCAAAAATTCAAGGCCTAGATACCACCATAAAATTTTTGGGAATTGTTTGGTCAGGTAATTGGGGGTTTGGTAGGACTTATTCCCCACCTGGCACAGTGCCTCCATCCTTTAAAAACAAAAAAAGAACAGGTGATCAGAGCTGCAAGCCACCGTTGAGAAGGCAACAATGCTAGTGAAATAGATTCAAGCTCTGGACATCTCCGAAGCAGGGCTACCATTCGAATGAGACGTGTCTGGGACTCCGCTAGAATGTGCGGGTTGGGCATTATGCAGGAGACAACAGAAGGAGAAAATATCGCTAGGATTTGGGTCTTAGCTCTGAAAAGGGGCAAAACTCTGATACACCTCCATAGAGCAACAGCTCCTGGCAATGCGCACAGTGCTCAGGAAGAAAGAGCACATCATGGTAAGAGCTTCCCTTTCTGTCAAGGGACAGTTGAGAACATGCTCCATGGACCCACTTCTGCCATGACTCAAACTCCCACTTTAAGTGGCATGTCTACCTACAACAAAGACTACCCTGCCCACCAGCCCACTGCCTCTAGAAATGTGGGTGCTACTAGGCCCTATAGAATATAGAGCTTCCAAATGCCCCCACCCCTATTCCTGTGGCAGCCCCTGCTGTCTCTATAAAGCGGGCATGAGGAAAACTGCTGATCTAGTCAGGGCAACCGTCCCACAAGGACCATGGCAGCTCTGAAGCCCAACACCGACACCATCCGGATGGAAACAGGAACCTGGCCGTTAACCCTTTGCACTAAAAGTTGAATGGTTCTAAAAGAACTAACCCTATGGCTTAGACAATGAAAAGCTGAGGTGCAGATGATCATAAATAAGCCCTTATGAGGTCAAGATATGTGAAAAAAAAAACATTTAGGTTTGCCTGCAAGAGGCTGAGGCAGTCCTCACTGTTTTCCACATCCCGGCTCATGAGGCGCTAACACTCCTTTGCAACCAGGGAACTGATGCCCTAACTTGGGTAAAAACTCCTCAGTAGATACGGCTGATTGGACACATAGAAAGAGAGGCTACCATAACTCCCAGATTAAATGGCGTATTACCACGGATGCCAGATTGCCCCTAAAATACAGTGGCTTGGTTAATGCAGTAATAAATCCTGTGTATTCTAAACCATCCTCAAGGCAACTGCCAACAAGTCCGGGACCATCCACTGGAGTTTCCAAATGGTGAAGGATTGGCAAATTGATTTGCCCCCTCCCTCCACGTGAGGATTCTAAATATGCCTTTGTTCACATGGACACTATGTCTGGCCTCATCTGAGTTTCCACCAACACGGGATTGTAGAAGCTGAGCACCATGTACAGCTACTCTCATCAAATAGACAGGTACTCACATCAAATGTGATCAGGGATCACATTTCAAAGGCCATGATATACAAGAGTGGACAAAAGACCATGACATTAAACAGAAGAACATCTCCCCTATAATCTGCAAGCGGCAGGACTGATAGGAAAAAAATAAATATTAAAGCAGCAGATTAATTTACTAATAAGTAAAACCACCTGGCCAAGTGGACTAAACTATCCCAGGCTTTAATACATTTACATGATCAACCAGTAATATTACCCAATCAACCAGCCTATTACCCAATATGCCAAACTAGGAACCCCTCTGCCAAGGCACTTAACACCGACCACAAAGGTATAAAAGTCGAGGAAGGGGCGCCTGGGTGGCTCAGTCGGTTAAGCATCTGCCTTCGGCTCAGGTCATGATCTCAGGGTCCTGGGATCAAGCCCCGCATCAGGCTCCCTACTCAGCGGGGAATCTGCTTCTCCCTCTACCCCTCTCCCCATGCTCATGATCTCTCTCTCACACTCTCTCTCTCTCAAATAAATAAATAAAATCCATAAAAAAAAAAAGCATCTGCCTTTAGCTCAGGTCATAATCTTGGGGTCCTGGATTGAGCCCATGAGCAGGGAGCCCGCTTCTCCCTCTGCCTCTGCCCCTCCCACCTCTGCTCATGTTCTCTCTGCACTCTCTCTCTCTCAAATAAATAAGATCTTTTTTAAAAACTAAAAAACTAAAGTCGAGGGAGACAGCCATTGCCCTAAGTCTCACCATGGATCAACATGCTATCCTACTGAGAACATCAAGGCCCACCGTGCCTGGGAAAGGCATTTTGTACTGGAATTCTCAGTAAGACATCCCTCCAGGATAGATGAATTACTTCCCCCCACTGGGGCAGGGGGAGAAACTACTCAGGGAACTACTCAGTCTCCAATGGGATCCCATTGTCCTGCTGCAAGCCAGACCTGCTGAAATGCACTACACCTGGAGTAGAACATGCCCCACTGAAAGAGGGGAGAGGTGAGGGTCCTGGTCTGGCATAGCCCACCCCCAGCCCATCTCCTTATTCCTGCCTCCATCCCTCCCCAGCCAACATGTACGGCACACACAACCAGGTCAAGTTTCTAACGCGACAACCACAGTAACATCCAAGGATCAGGTCACAAGTGTAATTCAGAAGGGAAACACTTTCCCACACAACTTCCTGTTAACTGTCTGCCTTTTCAGCCTTAGATTTCTGCGGCTCCTATGGTGTCCAGTCATGAGATGGACTCCTATTATAAATACCATTCTACAGTGGGCCCACTTGTATGCCCAACAAAAGAATTATTCCAACTCTTGGGTATATGACAGCTCATCAGGATTATCACCGCTCCAGGGAGTGAATTAAAAAGCCTGAAAACAGTACATGAAAAAAGAACAAGCTAGGACTGGTACTCAATTCATCTGATATTACCAATACGACTCCCGAAACCCAGCCTATGGCACCGACTATCAGTAACACTGGACATTCTTTTTCTGGGAATCAAACTACACAGGCAGCCCATCAAACTGTTGATCAACAGGGCCCTAAAAAATGCCATTGGAACCACAGGTGACTGGGCTCAGAGGTGGGATATATTCAAACGGCTCACGCCGGGTTATGGACATTTGAGCGCTGAATCACCTGGCACCCCTCTGTGGGGAACAGAAAAATCACTCTAAACAGAACCAACCCAGCTGTACCAGAAATATGGGATGTAGGTGGTCATTCTGTCACACCAAAGGATGGCAACTAGTTTGACGCTGACTGGTCACACCACCCAGATATTTACTGGGAAGCCCCGAATGGAGCCCAGTTTTGGGTAGCACGGATCTTTGGCCACGGCTTCCACCTGGGTGGCTGGGCCACTGCACCCTGGCTTTTCCCTGGGCACAAGGGAGAATCGGCCCCATCATGACCGCAGTTGCCAGCCTCCCTCTCCTCAAGGCCAGACGGGCATGTTCTGTTTTCCACTGGTCATTTGGCTGCCGTGTTTGTTGCTTCCAGTGGCCTGGAGGACATTGTAACCCACACAGAAGCCCTTAGTATATTCACCCAGCACCTTCCCTGACAGCCAGTGAGGGAAAAGCTTGCCCTTACTGAGCACTAAAATATCTCTCATGAGAAAAGCGGTCCCCCAACATGGGATCACTGCCTTGCGAGGAAGCACGTATACCATCCTCCACACAGAATGCTGTGTTCATACCTGACAGATCCTCTAATGTACCCTCTCTAGTACAACTAAATAGCCTGAGTTATCCAACCCCCAATCTAGAGGACTTACTAAGTCAAGGACTCAGGTCATGGGGCTCTTAATTTCAAAACCCGTGACTTATTTTGGGAATCATTATGTTAATCTGTGTTTTCTCTTGCATGTGTCCAAACGGGTGCTGTGCCATCTGCCTCCAGGTCGGCCAGAGAGCCACCCAACGAGCCACTTCCCGGCTAATAAAACCCTTGGAGACTGCTCAGGGCACATTGCAAAAGAGGGCTGCAAATCATTACAAGAGGGAAAGCGTTGGGGGCGCCTGGGTGGCTCAGTTGGTTCAGCGACTGCCTTCGGCTCAGGTCATGATCCTGGAGTCCCGGGATCGAGCCCCGCATCGGGCTCCCTGCTCGGCAGGGAGTCTGCTTCTCCCTCTGACCCTTCCCCCCCTCTCATGTGCTCTCTCTCTCATTCTCTCTGTCTCAAATAAATAAATAAAATCTTAAAAAAAAAAAAAAAAAAGAGGGAAAGCGTTGGAGGAGGTCACCCAGAGGATCTGACAGCCATCTGACCCGTGAGCTGGACCCAAGCATTGGAGGCTCCTCCCCGCCTCCCCTGTCCTTGGTTTCAATGCCTGTGTGTGCATTCTGCCTGCCTTCCTGCCCTAAAAGCTGCCTCAGGGACACAGACTTGAGATAGTCATGCGCTGTTGCGACCATCTGCATATACACGACTGGGTATACCATCTGGTAAACAGGACTGAACCCAGTTACGGCCTCTACATAAACTTTTAGGATTCTGACAGGTGGGTGTGAAGATCTGCTCACTTTGCAGCCGCCCAGGACAAGCCTCGTAAGCAAGTTCCCTTGCTTATTAAAACTGCCACCTACCGATCTGGAGGCCCTGCCTCTTTCTTCAGTCTGTCCTTGCCCCCCATGTCCAGGGGCCAATTTCAGATCTCACCCAGGAAACTCCCAAGGTTATGAACCACCAGGGTGCAAGAAGAGGTTGTTGCCAGAAGCCATCAGCCCCTGGGTGCTGCTGACCGCCCTGAAACCCCGGAGCGGGCGCTGGGGACGCCGCGGGCACCGCCGGAGCGGGCGCTGGGGACTCTGCAGGCAGCGCAGGAATCAGAAACTCACGCATGCGCCTGAGCCTGGCGAGCCACACAAGCCCTGGAGAAGCAGAAGCAAAACTCTTCTCCTCCTACAGTGTCTCTCTTGCTCCCTCTCCTGACAAAGCTTAACATCACGGCCGCTGGCGAACGAAACATTTAAAGGACCCAGATCCATTTCACAGTCTGGGCAGTGAATCAGAGACCAGCTCAGCTGGTCTTCAGGGACGGAGTAAAGCCAAACAAAAAACCATCACGAATCCGTCAGGAAAAGACCTACAACCCTAGAATGAAACAAAACACAGGGCTGCACGGAGAAAAGCAGAAAGCAGAGGGCGAGAGACAGTGAGAGGTCTGATGACCTTTGCTGTCCTTCCAGTTGCCCGGCTGCATCCCCGTCCTTTGATTCTAGGAGAATCCTCTGTCTCTTTTTCATAAATGCCTCCCTTTTTTGTCAGCTTAAACTAGGTTGAGCATTCTAGTCAATCCAGGCCAGCAATAATAAGTCACCGAATTAAAATCTCAGTTAATCATTTTATCATTGCCAGGTCCTTATAATACGTTACAGTTGCTTGCACCTGCGGTGATCTTACCCCGTCCAGGTTTCGGAAGCACTCTTCCTTAGGGGCAAATACTATAATTAAACAAGGTAAAATCCTTTTCCATTAAAGTCACTACTGCACTCTAAGTGGTGTCGCTAGATTTCATCTGGGCCCTGTTGTCCATTTTCCCGGAATGTTTCCTCAGACTCCTTATTAGTGTTAAGTTCTTATAAAACCTACCAACTGATATTTTAGAGCAAGGCTATAAGACTTCCTTGTCATATTTATTTTTTTATATTTAATTTTTTTAACATACTGTCCTGCAGTAGATTAGTAAAATCCATCTGATCTAATAATTCGGGCAGGTTTTCTACCATCTTTCTCATAAAGCATCTGCACATCTCCGTGACACAGTCTCACTTCTGTCTAATCATTCATCCTCACGATGCTTTGATGGGAAGCTGTTTATGTTGCAGCTTGTTTTATCGGTCCTCAGATGTGGGCTGCTTGGTGTTACTACCCCACTTGATGGAGTCAAGTCATCAGCCACAGTCTTCACCTACCGTAGTTACTAGACTATTTGGCCTTTAACATCGTCAGGGTTAGGGAACATCCCACCCATGGGGATTGCTTCCAGCAGCTCCGCTTTGTCCCCAGGTCGCCGGGAGTTTTCTATACTTTCATGTCACATCTTTTGTCTGATCATTTGTTTGGGTTTGGAGGAAGATGCTCTAATTTTCAATTTTCTCAGCATCTGATTTTTCTTTTCACCAAATTCCTTCTGTCTCATGCATGATGCTCATCTTTTCTCCCAGTGTTTCTCATTATAGGACACCCTTCTCGTTCACAGGGTCATAATCCATTTTCATCTTAAAGTACTCCTTACAAGCTTCATGGTGTCTGTGCACTCTATTCTGTTCCGGCTGGTGCTTCCCTTTCATTGTCCCGCAAGATCCTGTGTCTTGTTGGGACAGACATTTCTTCCACATTTGTGATAAGGACAATTATGACAATCCCCTTAGTTGCAGGGTGAGCATCACGCAACCCCCCCAACGCCCTCGCTGCTCCCCACCCCTTTCTCACTGGGCCTGAGACCACCATAATAGGAGAGAGACGTACACAGACACTGTAGACTGGATCAGTGGTTCCCAAAGCGAAAGACTGCATCAGAATCCTCCTGTGCTTGTTAAAAAGGCAGACTCCTGGGTCCCACCCAGCCCCATTGAATTCTAATCTCTGGAATGGTGCCTACAAACTGCATTTTAACATCTCTCCAGGTGATTTTTATGCACCCTAAAGTTGAACTGCTAGGGAAGAAGGCCTCCCCAGATAGGATCCGTATCCTGTTCTGAGAGTGGAAGGGGCTGGCCTGAAGTTAGGGACAACCTTCCACAAAGTTTCTCGAGACCCTGATGCTTCCAGCAGGTGTTACCTCTGCCTGCAAAAATAAAGATCAAAAGTCCCCTACCAAGCATCTCTGCCTTTACGTGTCATAACCATGTTTCAGAGTTCATCTCTGGAACTTAACCCTGGTTCCCATAAACAGTGCCCGCTGTTGGGAAGCAACAATTCCTGTCCCCAACGAACCATGAGAGACGATGGACTCTGAAAAACAAACTGAGGGTTCTAGAGGGGAGGGGGTGGGAGGATGGGTTAGCCTGGTGATGGGTATTAAAGAGGGCACGTTCTGCATGGAGCACTGAGTGTTATGCACAAACAATGAATCGTGGAACACTACATCTAAAACTAATGATGTAATGTATGGTGATTAACATAACAATAAAAAATTCCTGTCCCCCTCAAAGGTCCTTTAGCCAGACTAAGAATCAAATTGACATGAGACACACTAATAGGAGAAAATCAAATTAATAGTATATGTAAAGGGAATTCACACAGGCATGGAAATTCCAAAGACGGTCAGGCAAAATGAGGTCTCTATGTCATCCTGAACGAAGGAGAAGGGGTAGGGGTGTGCGACTTCAGAGGAAAGGAATGGAGGGCAATGAGAAAACGAACAGATGTTTGGTAATCAGATGTTTGCCTGCTGTACAGATAGGTCACTCAGATAAAATTTATCTCTGCTGATAACCCTTGTTCTAGGAAAGACCCCCAACATCGAATCTTCTATGTAGTTAAGGGAGGGGCAAAAGTTTCTCTTGAGGCCTTGGGTTTTGATTGCCTTGAGCTTAGAATAATCTTCATGCCAGAGTGGTCTATCTTGGGGCAGCCTGCCCTCAGCCCCTACCTACTCCACCATGGGAACACAGGCACAACATTAAAAGTTTGAGGGCGCATGTTTGAATGGGCCATAGCAGTGGCCCACCAAATTCATATTTCAAATTCAGAGAACCACTGGAGTCACAAGAGCCAGCCAAGGAGCCCCACCAGCCTTGCCAAAAGCACCATTTCATGAGAACCAGCCATGAACCCAACCCCCCACCTCATTCCCTAGGTAATCTAAGAGGAGGACTGGCTCTGTGAAGGAGGGAAAGCATTTGGCTTGTCCATCTCTATTCCTCCAGCACTGAGGGGCCTCCAACCACATCCCCTCGTGGATCATGGTAAGGTGATTGTCTTAATGCTGCCACGACCACCTGTCACCCCTAGGGACTGGAGAAGGGAGAAGGTAGGTGCAGAGTGAAGAGAAAGAGTACTAGGATATGGCCTAGAGCGGTAGACATTGCTTCCTGCTGGCATCAGGAGGATAAGGGAATATCATGAGAATTGAGCAGAAACCAAATTGGTAGCTGGGCTTGAAGCTCTATACCATTAACTGAAGACTGCAAAGTAGATGTCTTAGGGCAGGAGCTGAGGAAGGGCAGAAATGGATCCAGCCTAAGCCCCGCCTCTCAGTGGCGGGAACTTGCAACAAAACAGCAGCATTTGGGGGCGCCTGGGGGGCTCAGTCAGTTGGACGTCCAACTCTTGATTTCAGCTCAGGTCATGATGTTGGGGTCATGAAATCAAGCCCCACGTCGGGCTCCACACTCAGTGTGGAGTCTGTTTGAGATTCTCTCTCTCCCTCCTCCTTGGCTCCTCCTCCTGCTCGCACTCTCTCTCTCTCTCAAAATAAGTAAAGATAATCTTTAAAAACAAAACAGAACCCAGGCACCTGGGTGGCTCAGTCGTTAAGCGTCTGCCTTCAGCTCAGGTCATAGTCCCAGGGTGCTGGGATTGAGCCCCGCATCAGGCTCCCTGCTCCACGGGGAGCCTGCTTCTCCCTCTCCTCCCCGCTCATGCTGTCTCTTGCTATCTCTGTCACTATCTCTGTCTCTCTCTCTCAAATAAATAAAATCTTTAAAAAAAAACGAACAAAACAAAACAAACAGCACTTGCAGGCCTGCCAAGCAAAAGAACCAATGGAAGGTTGGTATGAAAGAGAGAAAACCAAGAGAAGAGCTTCAACCTCCCCCTCCACTAATGTGAGCCTACCCACAAATGAGGGTAAACTGTAACCAACCGAAACTGGGGCAAGTTCATATGGCCGGTCTCCAACGTCAGGGGCATAGCTGACTGATGATCCCAGGGCAATACTCTGAAATCTGTCACTGTGTTCCATGGCTCACACCAAAGCCAAGTTTCCCACAGGCCACTCCTGCCCGATGGCTGGGTGCAGCAAGGACAGTAATTTGGGGCTCATTCTGGTGATGTGTGGGACCCCCCTGGTGGGTGACCTTGGCTAGAGGACTCCCCAGTGGCCTTGCTGAACTTTTCTTAGAACTGGACTGACGCCAAAGACACCTCCACCCCAGCTCACTCCCTCCCATCTCTCCTCCACTCAGGTCAGACCTGCGTCACAGTCCAGCCATTTTCTCTCACAGGCCTTTTCCCAAGTACATTTCTTCCTGTCTCAAGTGCCCATGCTAACACCCATGAGTTCAGTCTTTGAGGGGCAGTCTCAGAATAAAAGCTCTCTTCCTCCAAGGTGTCCATCGACAGATGAATGGATAAAGAAGATGTGGTATATAGATACAATGAAATATTATGCAGCCATCAAAAGGAAAGAGATCTTGCCATTTGCAACGACGTGGATGGAACTGGAGGGTGTTATGCTGAGCGAAATAAGTCAATCAGAGAAAGACATGTATCATATGACCTCACTGATATGAGGAATTCTTTTTTTTTTAATAGTAACTATTATTATTTATTAAGTAATCTCTTCTGTACTAAGTGCTTTACATGCATTGCCTCAATTTACTCTCAAAGCAACCACAGTGAGATGGTACTATCCCCATTTTATAAATTAAAAAAAACAGGCTCAGGGAGGTCAATCAACTTGCCAGAGGTCATACAGGTGGTTGAGCTGGATTTTGAACTCTGCTCTGAACGACTTCTTGTCTCTTTTTTTTTTTTATTCTTATGTTAATCCCATACATTACATCATTAGTTTTAGATGAAGTGTTCCATGATTCATTGTTTGTGCACAACACCCAGTGCTCCATGCAGAATGTGCCCTCCTCAATACCCACCACCAGGCTAACCCATCCTCCCACCCCCCTCCCCTCTAGAACCCTCAGTTTGTTTTTCAGAGTCCATCGTCTCTCATGGTTCGTCTACCCCTCCGATTTCCCCCGCTTCATTCTTCCCCTCCTGCTACCTTCTTTTTTTTTTCTTAACATATATTGCATTATTTGTTTCAGAGGTACAGATCTGAGATTCAACAGTCTTGCACAATTCACAGCGCTTACCAGAGCACATACCCTCCCCAGTGTCTATCACCCAGTCACCCCATCCCTCCCACCCCACCCTCCACTCCAGCAACCCTCAGTTTGTTTCCTGCAATTAAGAATTCCTCGTATCAGTGAGATCATATGATACACGTCTTTCTCTTGATATGAGGAATTCTTAATCTCAGGAAACAAACTGAGGGTTGCTGGAGTGGGGGGTGGGGTGGGAGGGATGGGGTGACTGGGTGATAGACACTGGGGAGGGTATTGCTATGGTGAGCTCTGTGAATTGTGCAAGACTGTTGAATCTCAGATCTGTACCTCTGAAACAAACAATACAATATGTGTTTAAAAAAAAGAAGAAGAAGAAGATAGCAGGAGGGGAAGAATGAAGGGGGGAAATCAGAGGGGGAGATGAACCATGAGAGATGATGGACTCTGAGAAACAAACTGAGGGTTCTAGAGGGGAGGGGGGTGGGAGGATGGGTTAGCCTGGTGATGGGTATTAAAGAGGGCACGTTTTGCGTGGAGCCCTGGGTGTTATGCACAAACAATGAATCATGGAACACTCTATCAAAAACTAATGTTGTAATGTATGGGGATTAACATAACAATAAAAAATTAAAAAAATAAAAGCTCTCTTCCCTACCCCAGCACTGGTGTGGAAGAGCAGAGGAGAAGGAGGGGCGTGGATGTGGGACAGATGGGCCCCCTGTCAAAAAAAAACTGCACCAGAGTTCAACAGGCAAGGAAGACTTTATTCAAGACTATTGCAACAGAGGAGAGAGATTGAACTCACTTCTAATACAACAGGGACACGTGGGGATTTCTAGCCAATGGGCAGGGTGAGGAATTGGATGGAAAATTGCTAAGAAGAACTTGGTGAAGTAGCAAGGGCAGGCGGACGCAAGGAGATTGGACAGCAAGAGGGGGGGCTTCTCAATTAACCAGTCTAGCAGGATTCTTTGCTAAAACTGAGCCGGGCAGGCCAAAGGCAGGCTGAGGATAACACCTCGTTCAAAAGAGGGCTCAGGCGAGCCTGACTGAAGTCGGGGCAAGGGGGGCGTCCTTGCCTCACCCTGAGCCAAAACTCCAGCCCACCCGCCAGCCTACTCTGGAGGGTTGGCAGGCGAGGGGGCTTGGAATTGCATGTGAATTGAAGTTTAAAACAAACAGGACTGAGTCTGAACCGAAATGAAACGGTTTTCATGACTGACAGCTACGGCAAAGTTTCGGGATTGGCCTGGGAATTGTTACCGGAGCCAGCCCTTCGCCCCCCACGGGCAAAGAAGGGCCGGTCAGAGCACAGCCTGTAGCTCCACCGGACACAGCGGGCACTGGAGAAACGAGACTGAACGAAATCCCGAGCATGGCCTGAGCAGGCTCCTCAGGAAAGCGTTCCCCGTGCGGCAGGGAGGATAACGTCCGCCACTATGTTCACCGACTGCTGGGAGCTGCCGGGCCGGGCCGTGGGGGAAACCGGTTTCAGGAGTCCTGGCAGCGAGCGCCATCTAGTGGAGGGAACGCGCAAACGCAGACCCCGGATGACAGGTGAGCTTGCAGGGCCCGAGGAGGCTCCGAAGGTTTGGAGGGACAGTAACCGGCCCACCTCAGCAGTGCTCGTGCCTCCTACAGCACTTTCCCCCCAGGCAGGAAAATGTCCCACCTCCGCACGGCTCTGGGGGATCGGCGACCCCGAGCTTCTGGGGAGAAGGCTTGAACCCAGGAAGCGGCCAAATCATGCGGTGCAGACGGCGTGGGGTGTGTGTGTGGAAGATGCGGCTTCACCTGCCCTCATGGGGGCGCCACAGACGGACCCGGAAACGCTGGGAAACGGGGCTCGGGGGCGGCGCCCACAGCCAGGTGCGGCCACCGCAGCCCAGGATGCTGCCGGCGCGGGCTCGGGGACAGCACCTCCAAGCCGGGCAGGCAACCAAAGAGAGCTGGAACCCGCTTTCCTGGGTGCGTCCTTGTGCATCTAGAAGCCCCCACGGTCCGAAACTTACCTTCATATCGAAGTCAGCGCATCCATGCAAATCTGCATCAAATTTAGGTTCCAAACTGCAGTTGGATTCTGATGCTTTAAGTGAAATGGGGATAATAATAGCACCTGCCTCAATGGGGCGCTTGGGGGCCTCCGTCCTGCGCTAATGCTTGTTTTGAAAATGGAAATTGGACCGGATGCAATTGATATGGTAAGGGGACATTCGAGTCTTACCCACACTGCACGTTTGATTATGCAACTCACCCACTCGAAGTACCAGGTGAACTCCGAAAACTGCACCCGACTGAATGGAGCTGCGTGGGACCCCGCACCCCGTGTGCCGTGAGCCTCACGCAGCTGCATCGGGCGCTCCCGCTGCAGGGATCCCTCCTTCCATCTCTTCACAAGAACCCACACGCCTGCTTCCACAACCTAACCTCCCGTCTGTGACAAAGTAAAAAGCCCTATTTTTGTAGTACTGATTTCTTCATCATTTCACATGTGTAAAACTGCGCTACCATTTTCATTAACCTTTTTATTTGTGTCAGGGACGTTTTTGAGTGCTGTGTCCCTAGCCCTACTTCCCGCAAGCCTTGTGCTTGCAATTTTGTTTGGTGTGATTTTTAGGAACTAGGACGTCATGTTATAGAACTGAGTGCATAAGTAAAACATTCAACTGCTGTTATGATCATAGTAATAATTATTATTGAACCTCCGGTGCTTGAATAACACGCTATTTTTTTCAAAGTTCTTCCCCAATTATGAATTGACTTTATCCTCATGCTTTGCTTGTGGATTATTTTTCTGATTATACATAAAAGAAAACGCAAACCCAGCGACAGAACTTGCCCAAGATCACACTCCCAAGTCCCAGCTGAAAAGGCCTGTTCCTTGTCTTCAAATTTCTTAAGGAAAAAAAAAATGCAGATACTACTTGTAAAACCTACGTCCAAACCTTGTAAAGCAAAATGTACATACGAGCATGGCCATTTGAGGGTGCCTGAGTGGCTCAGTCAGTTAAAGCGGCTGCCTTCAGCTCAGGTCATGATCCCAGGATCCTGGGATTGAGCCCCGCACGGGCTCCCTGCTCAGCGGAGAGTCTGCTTCTCCCTCTCCCTCTGCTGCTCCCCCTGCTTGTTCTCTCTCTCTGTCAAATAAATAAATAAAATCTCCCATCCAAGTACTAACCAGGCCCAACCCTGCTTAGCTTCCGAGATCAGACGAGATCGGGCGCGTTCAGGGTGGTACGGCCGTAGACTAAATAAATAAAATCTAAAAAAAAAAAGAAAAGAAAAGAGCATGGCCTTTTGGGAGTCAAAGGTGGATAGGAGAGAGGGCATTTCATCACAAAAGAATCCTTGAAGAGGTGACTTGGGAAATGTGGAAAAAGAGTGGGTGGAAGGAAGAAAGTTGCAGGATGGAGACAAGTCAGTGGATAACAAGGGTCTCAAACTCAGATGCCAACAGGGGCCAAGCAAACAACAGGAATGAATGAAATGCTCCAGCTGTAACTGGTAGAGAAGGGTGGGGACTGCAGTGACTCAGGTTTCACCAGAGGGATAGCCTGGGGTGGGGGTGGGGGTGGGGGGCGCTGACCAATCTGTGCCGCTCCTACAGAGGGGATCCAACATCTGACTTTTTAAGAGAAGCAGAAAATTCAGATTTTATGTGACACTTCTAGGTTGGGCTGTTTTTTCATTTTAATTGCGGTCTCAACATCAACTGTTTTCTAAACACTGACAACTAATTCAAGTATTCTAAAACACTCTTGAGGCCAAAGTCACGCATTCACAGATACAGCCGGTGGGCTGCCAGTATTCAACTTCAGAGAGATGCTGCTCAGGGCTTGGGGCCCCAAGCAAAGAAGTCTGAACGATGATGGACACAAAATATGTTATTTATTGTCAATTTCTGCAAAGACACATTTAAGCAACAAAATATACATTTGTCGACCTTTTAGAATTTGTTTTATACATTAACAAATACAATGTGCTACCATAGCAATAAATTAAATATACATTATTTACATTACATAGGCAGTCAGGGTCTACGAATCACCTCCTCAAGAAGAGGAAAGAAAGAAAAGTCATCATCACATGGATCATCATTTCCAAGCTACACTTCTTAAGTTCTATCACACAAAGGAACCTCTTCACACTAGAACATCGGCACTCCCTGGGCTGGAGTGTAGAAGGGTAACGTCCATGACGGGGGAGAGTTGGCATACATGCTAAGGAGCGGGAAGAAGGAACTGAGCGTTCCGAGTGGAAATATTACAAAATCAAAGATGATGGCATATAAATTCCAGTCTTCCAGCCAAACACGCTCTCCCCAGGGCTGGTAAGGCCCAGGACAGAGCCATTGCCCCAACAGCCTCTCACTAGGCAGGGCTCCGCTGTCCTTGTCCCTAGTGGGGGTGGTCTCCCTCCTCCCAAAGGGGCCGATGGCCCGGCTGAGAGGAGGGAGTTGTGGCGTTGGGGTGGGCGAGGGGCTAGTGTTACCACTAACTAGAACGCTCCTTGGCAGCCTTGGCAAACTCCACTGACCCACTCCCACCTTGCAGAGAGGGAGCTTGGGGAGAAGCCGTGGGTCCCTGCCAGCCACCTACTTGACCCCTGGCCGTTCCCCGACAACAACCTGTCTCTGTTGACTCAGAATCAAATGAGGAAGGTAGTGTTTGCACTGGCACCTTAACCAGTCAGGGTAAGAAAGTGATTCTGGCTCTCATCCTACCACGGCACGGGAACCTACACTTTTATTAGCCACCTTTGTTTAAGGATCAGGGAGAAGAGAGTTTTCTTTTACCACTTTTCTTCTGAACTTAAGAAGGGGAAACTGAGGGCTAGTTAACTGCACTCTGCCCCAGCCTCCACCCCCATTACAGACCAGAGCTGAAGACCTGAGGTTACCAGGAACGGTCCACTAAAAATCTACTTCCCTCCTTGTTTTCTTTGCTCAAGCCGCATCCAAAACCCCAGGGCCCTCACTGGAAAACTGAGTGCATATCCCTCCTGATGAAAAGAAGAGACTGCACTGATATGAGGAATTCTTAATCTCAGGAAACAAACTGAGGGTTGCTGGAGTGGGGGGTGGGGTGGGAGGGATGGGGTGACTGGGTGATGGACACTGGGGAGGGTATGTGCTCTGGTGAGCAATGTGAATTGTGCAAGACTGTTCAATCTCAGATCTGTACCTCAGAAACAAATAATGCAATATATGTTAAGAAAAAAAAAAAAAGAAGAAGAATGTAGCAGGAGGGGAAGAATGAAGGGGGGAAATCGGAGGGGTAGACGAACCATGAGAGACGATGGACTCTGAAAAACAAACTGAGGGTTCTAGAGGGGAGGGGGTGGGGGGATGGGTTAGCCTGGTGATGGGTATTAAAGAGGGCACGTTCTGCATGGAGCACTGGGTGTTATGCACAAACAATGAATCATGGAACACTACATCTAAAACTAATGATGTAATGCATGCGGATTAACATAACATTAAAAAAATTAAAAGAAAAAGAAAAGAAGAGACTGAAGTCCCACCTTGACCGCAGACAGCTCCCAACCAGGGCCCAGGCACTAGCTAACTGACTCCTCCGAAACTCAGGGCCCCAGCAAATGTAGCCACCCATTCAACTGACCGTGTAGGTGGCACCGAAGAACGGGCCCTGGGTTGTGGGTTCCAATCCCAGCTTTGCCACTTGTTGGTTGTGCGACCTCCAGTGAGTCATTTCCCCTCACTGGGGCTGAGGTTTCTCAGCTGGATGACAATATGGATGGATTAGATATCAAAAGGGGCCCAGAAGGCTTGGACATTGAGATGAGGCCAAAACAAGGCTGAACGACAGAATATTTTTCACTCATCATTTTCCATTAATTAGAAACTCGAGCTCAGATCTTCTATCTCAAGCTCATTCTGCATCTGTTAAGCATCAACTGAGCATATGGGTGCCCTGCAGAGCCCGACCAGTATAGTTTCTTCCACGAGTCAGGCACTTCCCAGAGGCAGAGACGTGTCCAGATCACAAGCAGAGTGTTTCAAATCCCAGCATGAGCACCGTCAGGATGAGTCTGGTCACAGGGACCAAGGAGACTTGAGCAAATATTTGAGCCCCAAGACTGGGCGCAGCAATAAAAGGAAACTTTGGGCCAGAGCAGATGCAAGAGAATATGGGGGAAGCAGCCTTCAGGAACCCAAGCTGCCTGCCCCATGGTCCAGAGGGGTGAGATGAGACTGTCCACTCCCTGTCCTCCTCGTCCCCCTCAGCCCTAGGACCTCACAGGCTGGTCATGTATACTCTAGAAGCCATAGATGAGCTGGGCTTTCTAGAGAAGGTAAGACAGGACCCAGAGAGAGGGACATTTCAGACCCTGCCCAGCGTACCCCCAGTAGCAAACAGAAGGTGGAGACCACTTCTCAGGTCTGTTTTGTAGGGAACAGGCCTGTGCCTCCCAGTGTCCCTGGACACACGCAGCCATCCTGGTCACTGGCTCAGAGGCAGGGGCTGAGCCCTCTCAGGAGGTGGGGGCTGCAGAAGGAGCAGCCGGAGCAGTGGAGGAGAGCACGTATGAGGAGGCTCCCAGGAAGGACAGGGTGGGGACAAGCTGGAAACTCCAGAGGACCCCCGGACCACAACACAGCACAGCACAACCACCAAGCAGCTATAAATACCAGCTACCCGAGAAGCAAGCCAGAACCTGGAAGAGTTGTGTGTTTTTGTTTTTTAATGCAGTTTGACCTTTCAAGTTCCTCCCAAAAGCCAGCCAACAGAACGCGGCCAGAATCCGCAGACCTCGTTCCAGCAGTGGGTGCTGCTACAGTGATTTTTAATAAAAGCTAAACAGACGCTTGTTGACCTTCTCACTGGAAGAAATTTTACCGGACTAGTATTTTAAGTAAACACGTTTCCCAAATAGTGAGGGGAGAGGTCCACCCAGCCCGCAAATAGGGTCCCACAACATCCACATGGGTGAGAGACGAAGGATCAAGGTTTTGCCCTAATGGCAAAAGCAGCAGGGAAACAGTCACATCAGTCACAGACAAGTAGAACGTTGACGCGATTGCTTTGACTTCGGAACAGGCCCGGACTCCAATGCAAATAAAACATTTGGTAGAAATCCTTGTCATCGGCTCACGGAAGAAGGAGCCCAGCCTGAGGCACCGGGGCTATCTGGTATTACAGGGCCCCACTCACACCCCCAGGGCTCTGCAAATGGGGATGGGCGAGACGCAGGGAGAGGGGGCTTGCTCCTGACAGTGAGCTGGCTCTGGCCAAGGGGGCAGGGGGCAGGCAGCCTCTGAACTGCATCCAGCTGGGGCCCAGGTTGTAAAAATCCCGCCAACGTGACCACTGCCTACGGACCCGTGGGTGAAGGGGATCGGGGGACCAAGCGCCAACAACGCCAAAGGGGGACAGGGCTACCCCCCCCCCCCACACACACACAGATGCCAGGAGCAGAAATCGCAGAAGGACGTCGCTCCTTCCTCATGCCTACCTTCCACGTCCACACGTCAACCGAGGCGGACAGGTCACCCCCCACCTCCCCGGCTCTGACCTAAGTGGTGGGCTGAAGCAACTCTTCCACGAGCCTCCACCTCCAGCGGGGACCTGATCCCAGCCCAGCCAAGGCCCCACCGTTCTCCTCAGCCAAGGCCCCACAGCACAGCTCGCCAGCTTGCTCTTCCTGAATTCCTTCCTGCTCCGGGCCGCCCACCCCTCCTTGGGGAACACGTCTGCTCTGAGGGGAGAGACTGGCCGGGGCTTCTCCCACAGCAATGGCGTGGGGGCCCCTCCACACACGCACAGCTCTGTCTCGCCTCCGCTGCCGGCACCCGGGGTACACTGGGCTCAGAGACGAGGCAGCGCTGGGCTGGAAGGCGGCAGATGGGCCAGAAAGCAGCTCCTGGCGCAGAAGCACATAGCTGTGGGAGCAACGCCGCTGATTTCCAGCCTCATATCGTGGAGGACGGCTACAGATCTTGGTGCCTGGAAAAGTGGTCCCTCCGCCACCACTCACTAGGTTTGCTGTGCCTGTCACGTGCAGGACACAGTGCTGGCAGCCCCCGCACCCCACCTCACCGCACTCTGCCTCTCCAGTCTCTGACCCAGTCCCCAGGACCCAGATACCCCTTGCCCAACTCTTTCCTCTGTGCACAACGCAAGGTGACGGGTGAGCCAGACACACATCACAGGGGCGGTCGGGAGCAGGGGGAGCCTGGAGGAATGAGGCCTCATCCAGAGGAGAGTGCTTGAAGCGTGCCTTGGCAAGGGGACAGGCAGGACACGGGGACAGACAGCTGGTCTGGAGGGCGGGTGGCCGGTGGGGCAGCAGGACTGTGACGGTCAGAGTAGTGGATGGCACCCCCAAACTGTCGGAATAGGAGCCTTCTCCGAGACAGAATCGGGGCTTCCCTGGAGGAGAAAAGGAGGGAGAGGATGACCAAACACTGCATAAGGAGAACGTGCGCCCATGGCGACAGCCCGCTGAATGGGCTTGGGACGCGAGGGCCAAAGACAAGGGTGCCAGACATTAGGCAGTGTGAGCAGTTGGGCATAAACGCTGACGTGGTGAACAGAGCGGGGTGAAGGTGAGTGTCAGAATTGCCATGGTCTCTTCTGCTTTTTCACAGGTTTATATAAAGTGGGCGGAACTCGCCCCCGCTTGGTTCTCACCGGCCGCAGCCAAGCCGCATGGCAGGGAGAGGGCTGGAAACTCAAATGGCTCTTTAGGAACTTCACCAGCAGGAGGTCAGGCCTTGGTGGTGGCAAACCGGACCCAGGCCCTGCTCTGCTGAAAACCACACACTCCCTCAGCTGAGAATGTTGAGGAGGCTGGGGCATCTCTGAACATGCAGAGAGGACACATTTCAGCCCAGAGCCCCGGCCGAAGACACAAGGAGGGAAAGGCTTCCAAGAACAGGGAGACAAGGGGACAAACTGAAGGATCCTCTGTCTAAGGGAGGAAGGCCAGCTCTGGGCTACTACCCCTCTGCCTGCTGGAACCAGGCTCCTCCCAGGGCAGGGAGACCAACTCAGTGAGTCTGGCCCAGTCGTATCGGGCAGCCCTTCCTGTCCGCACCCGAGGCCACCTGCGGTTCTTCTTCCATCCAGACCCGGGCCTCATCACAAGAGGCTTCAGGGAAGAGGTGAGCAGCCCTCCCCAGCTCAGGATCCCTCTGGCCAGTCTCAGGACATGAGGACCCTGATTTTAAAGTGGACACACCTTCCCTCGTGGCCACAAGACAAACACGTGACCCACCTTTGACAAGCGAAGGACTCCTCTTTCACATTAGTGACCCTGTTTCAAGAAAAACACACACAAGAGTTATAAGTAACCAGACAACATAATCCCTGCCGACTGCGGCCCCTGTGCGCTCAGCTCTCAGCTCTCTGGGGAGCTAGGGAAGGGACACGGGGCTCCAGGAGCCGAGAGTTCCCAGCTCACAGCTGTGTGTGTCCCAGGGTGTGACTAACACAGGGGGTGTGGCGGAAGCGGCTGGCAGCCCCAGGCCAATGCTTGCTCCATGCGGGGACTGCAGCATCACCCCCAGATCTGGCCAGAGCTCTCCTTCTCCCAGTGGGCTGTGTGAGGCACCCCCTTCCTCCGGCCCCCAGGAAGGACAGCTGGCTTTGGGAGGGGGCTGGGGTGGGATGCGGGAGGCCATGCCCTCATGCCCCTAACCCTTACCGCACTAGAGCTGCCATGGCTGAGCTTGTCGAAGCGGAATTTCAGGTTTGACCTCGGGGAGTTCCTGCTTTTGGCATCTAGGAAAGAGGAGTGTCCATGAAGAGTGGGCGGGGCTGCAGAGTCACTAGGGCTGGGGTGGTGCTGTGGGGGGGACCTCCTCCCGCCCTGGGGCACTCCAGCTGACCTGCAGCAATTTGTCAGAGCCAACTCTTAAACCTTGAGAAATTTTTAGAAATGTCAGCTGGCTGGTAAACCCAGGCATTTTTTTAAAAAATAAACTACAGAAGCTTCCAACTCAATAAATCCTATTCATCAAAGATAATAAATACTCAAAAGTCCTCGCTCCCCAATTATTTCACTGCACTTGACTACTATCGGCTCTCGTCGGGTGACTTATGTCCACGGCACCTGCCCGGCGCTTCCTCCCTGCTCGGCACAGCGCACTGTGGGCCGGGGCTCAGCCGGGGCCGGGCACTCAGCACGGAGAGCAGCGGCTGCTATAAAATCAGGGCCTGGCTTCAACTAATGCAGAAAATGTTAAGAAATACAGATGAAATCTGAAGACACGCTGCGTCTGTAGCCATTACATTAGGACGGGTACAAACACCGGAGCTGGTTCTGGTCCAGCACTTGAGAACTAGTATGTGATTCAGCAAAGAAGTTGCTTATGTCTCTGACGAAATATCAATCATCAGTCACGTCGGAACTACACCTTGTTGGTCATCTGCAACTTCCAGTCATCCACAAATACAGAGGTTAGACAAACACCAATCGGAGCGCTTGGCGAGAATCAACTGGCAATATGGGACTTAGAATAGAGAATTCCAATGTATCGTTATTTATATCCGTAAACGAGCATGTGCGCACGTGCAAGCGTGTGCGGGAGAGCTGGGCCGGGAACATGGCCAGCACACCACTGGCAGAGGGGCTGCTCGGCTTTCTGGCTTTCCTCTGCCCTGGGGGAGTCTACGGGTCAGCACACTCCAGCCGGAGGCTGCTGGCCCCTTCAGATCAAGGGGTTCCAGCCAGCATGGTGAGTCACTCTCAGTCGGGCCTGCCAATCCCCACTCAGGGCTCCGGGCGCCCAGGTGTGACATGACCAACGGTCGGGGCATCAGAGACTACAGAAGACTGGACGTCAGGCCCTCCCAGGGGACCCCCCTCTGCTTGGCCCTGTCTCTCCCCAGAAGGAGCCAAGCAGCTCACAACAGGTTCCCAGAGGTCTGCAAACTGACCCCGGTCCTGCGAGTCCCAGCACGGCCTCCGTGAGGCTGGCAGCAGGAGGTGGCTGGGGTTCACTACTGTGCGGGGACAGGGGTGGAGATCAGGAAGCATGGGAGGGGGTCCCCAGGCCCATTCAAGGTCCCCTTCTGCCCCGGGTGACCTTCAGCTAGTGGCAGACCCTCTCGAAACCTCCTGCTACTCAGAACCTTATTTGCTTTGGTATTTATTTAATACCAAGTAGGAGCCGCGCTTGCTTACAGAGTCTTTCATTCATTTCTTCAATATTTAATTAAGCCTTATTTTTTAAAAATCAGGGTATTTATATTAGACCAAAGAGCCTGGGCACTTGGGGGTTTTACAGATGGGGAGACTGAGGCTCAGAGGGGTGAGCCTGTCCTTGCCACAGCCAGGGGCTGAGTGAAAGGAAGCCCGTGAACTGGCTCACTCTGCGTTTCTATCATCTGACTGGAGTTTCTCAGCCTCAGCCTACTGACATTTCCTGCCAGATAATCCTGTGCTGTGGGGGGCTGCTCCGTACTTTGTCAGGTGTCAGCAGCATTCCTCTCTCCTCCCACAACCATGAAAACCAGAACTGTGTCCAGATACTGTCAAATGTGCCCTGGGGAGCACCATTAACTACACTATTGTTTTATTCCTGTTATTTAACCTAGCCAACATTTAGGTTAACAGTTCTGAAGTCTCTGACAACTAAGCTCATCTAATCTTCACACAACCAACCACGCAAGGTAGGAACTATTCCCCTCCCTCCATCCTTTGCTTGGGGAAACTGAGGCACAGAAAAGCTCAGTAACCTGCCAATGTCGCATCACTAGTAAGTGGCAGATGAAGGATTTGGACCCAAGCTCCACTGTCCTGCACTTGTCCCGCCTTGAGGGCCGCACACCAAGGCTCTGATTTCTGGGTGACGGTGCCCCGCCGTACCTACCGTGCACGTCCCCTCACGCTCCAGCCCCTCCCCCCGCCCCAGAGCTGCCGCCTCGCACTCTGCCTGACCGCAGGGGTCCCAGAACCCCCAAAGGCCCAGACTCTTTGCTCTCTCTGAATCCCCACTGAGTGGAAAATTCTACCTCCTTGACATCTCTTGAATCTATATCCTTCTCCCATTGCTCCAGACAGCCCCGATCCACAGCCCAGCCACCCCTCACTGCCCACTGTGACCCCTCACTGATCTCCCTCCCTGCGTCCACTCCCCACCAACCCCATCTACTCAGCCAGCTGCGGCCACCTAGTCCGGACTGCGCTTCTCTACGTAAGACCCTCCAGTGGCTTCGCTCGCCAGCAGAACAACACCCAACTCCTTGCCAGGGTCTCCATGGCGGCCCCAGCCTGGTGCCCCATCTGCCTGCCATCTCCTCTCACACCTGTCCCCTCCGCGGACTGCAGCCCAAGGAACCATGTGCGGTTCCCTCCACCTGCAACACTCCCCCACTTTGTACCCTTGCCCTTGTCACGACCATCACTGGGGCAGAGGCGGCCCGCGTCAGTGACGGGGTGCGGCAAAAGGGCCTCCACTTTCAAATCCCAAGTCCTCTACCAAATCACTGAACTTCCGGAGCCTCAGTTTCCCCATGAGTAAGATGATAAGAACACAGGCATCTCAAGGCTGATGAACAGACGAAGTGAGCTAGCAGAGCTCGAGGGCCTAATGCTTCGGGGCTGGAGCGGAACGTGCTTGGTTCGGTGTGGCTGAGGTGCACGCCCACGATCAGTGGTCACAACACAGCCCCTGCCCCTCTGGCCCCAGCCACCACTGACCTGTAGGACTCCGGCTCACGATGATGGGGGTGGCAGGTGCTCCCGGGCTGGGGCTTTCGCTGCTCGGGGACGGGCTGTAGACAAACACCTCCTGCTTGAAGGGTGAGGTCGTGGACGGCTGGCTGCTCTGGGGAGAGAGGCCGGGTGAGTGAGGCCAGCTCCGTCCTCAGTGGCCCCACAGGGTGGCCCGTGCCACGGCAGGCCTGACACCATCACTGCCCTCCACTTTCCACGTGGACCTGATCTGGCTGCCGCCCCCAGAAGTGCCCCTGACCCTCTCCTCTCCTGCCGGGAACCCCATGACAGGGACCCCATTCAGGCCTCTGGCCCTCTGTGGCTGTTCCTGTGTCACTGGCAGGGAGTGGGGACAGCTGACTGGCCCACCTCCTTCTCGTTTCCATACTGCCCACCCCCCCACCCCCTCCCACCCCCACCCCAGAGCCCGGATGGGGCTCCACCCACAGCAGCTAGTTTGATGCACATGGCAGGTGTCCGGCTGGGCCCAGGGCACCCCTCCCTGCTCCCCAGGGTTGGGTGGAGCCACACCTACCCCACTGTCACACTCCTCCACGGCTTCCCCCTCCCCCGCTGTGCTGCTGAAGCTGCTGGTGCTAGAGGAGGAGCGGGAGATGTTAGCTCTGCCATTCTCCTTCAACTTTACGAAGGGCCTGTGGGGAAAGGAGCGGGACAGGCCTGGTCACTCACCAAAGCCCCCCCACCCCCACCCCAGGCAGGGCAGACCTGGCAGGGACTGAGCTTGCCCACCAGCGACTCCCCGTGCCCCCTGCTGGCTGGCTTCTGTGTTCCACAGAGTTCTCCAGGCAAAAATGCAGGCTCTCAGCAGAGCGTGCATTCCAGGGCTCCAAGTGGCTAAAGCCAGCCCTGCCCCCACCCTCGCTCTCTTACTTCTCCTTGTTGGGGCAGATTTCTGGAGAGCTAGGATTGGATGAGGCCTCAGACTTTATCTCTTGAGAAGAGTGTGCACCATCCGGGGTCTTGGGGTTGCTGGATGCACTGTCACTAAGGAAAGAGAAATAAAGAGGGGTGAAGCCATGCGGCCAGCCACTACGCCCCCAACCCACCCCCAGGCCTGATACAGGCCCAACCAGCTCTCAGCACCACAGGGCCTATGGGGTCACGGCACCCCCTGCCAGAGCACAGCCACCAGGACCTCCACTCCCCTGAGCCCCACTCCAGCCACAGTGGACAACAGGGTTTTCTGCTCCATCAGGGGCTACCTTAGGCTCCTAGGCAAGTCAAAAGCGATCAAGCAAGAGTCCTGGCCCGATGCCCCCAAGCCCACGTCCACTCCCCACCTATGCTGGCCATCCCACCTGGCAGAGCTCTAAGTCAAGAACAGGCGGGTCTATGACGCCCACTCCCACAGCAGGGAAATAACCCAACGCACGTGGACTCCGTGGCGGGGCTGGCAGGGTCACCGTGCATAACAACCTTCACACAGGCCATAATACGAGATCCCTGGATCTGTGTGACGAGGTGGCTGGGAAGGGCATCTTGGTAAACGGGCTACTCTTGGCCAAGGGCCCAAGGGCTTCCTTCTCTTGGAGTTTAACAAAGACCATGTACTGACGCCCACAATTTGTCCTGTGCCCCCTGGTGGGGACAAGATGGCCTTGTCTTCAACACAGTTTTTATAGCAGCTTTACTGAGACATGACCCACATACAATTCACCCACTTAAAGTGTATAATTCAAGGGTTTTTAGTCTATTCACAGAGTTGTACAACTATCACCACTGAGTTTAGTCCGCCCCTCCCCCAGCACTGGCAACCACGAATCAACTTTCCGTCTCTCTGGATTTGCCCGTTCTGGACAGTTCATACAGATGGAATCACACGACGTGCTGTGGTCTTTTGTGACTGGCTTCTTTCACTTAGCAGTCTATTCAAGGTTCATCTAAGTTGTAGCATATATCAGTACTTTACTCCTTAAAAAATCCCATTTTCCAGTTACAGCACATTTTATTTGTCCCTTCACTGAGAGATGGACATCTGGATCATTTCCACTTTGGGCTATTATGAGTGATGTTGCTAGGAACATCTGTGTGCTAGTTTTCATGCCGACATACGTATTCCTTCTCTTGGGCATATACAGGAATGGAACTGCTCGGTCATATGGTAACTCCATGTTTAACTCTCTGCAGAGCTGCCAGGCGGTTTTCCAAAGCAGGTGCATTAGTCTAGACTCCTATTAGCAAAGCCTGAGGATTTGAATTTCTCCATATCCTGGCCAACACTTGTTATTATGTGTCTTTTTGATGACAGCCATCCTAGAAGCATGAGTGCCTCAGTGCACTTTTAATGAGGCTGCTTAAGACCTCCTAATTGTCCCTCCAAGCAGGGGTCTGGGCCATGGTGCAGGGCTTCTCTGCATGTCTGACACAGCGGACCCTCCCTCCTGGAATTCCTCCTCTCCAGGCTTTCTTCTCGTCTTCCTTCCCTTTCTCCCCTTGCCCTGAAATACTGGTGTTCCCCAAGCATTCTACACACTCCCTTGGGTGGTTGTATTCGTTGCTCCATCTTTAAACACCACCTATGCCCAGTGACTCCCTTCTGCAGTCAAGGCCTGGCTCCTAAGCTCAAGACCTGCCTTCTGGCCACTGCGAATTCTGCATTTCTCTACTGGGTAGGCCGTAAGGACTCTCACACGTACAGGTTCCAGAGTCTTTCAACCCCCTCCGTAAGCCTGTTCTTCATCCTGCATGCCCGAGCTCAGGGGCTGGTGCCACCATCCAGGGGGACAACCTGGAAGTCAACCTAAATGTCTCGCTTTCCCTCACAAGACTGTAAGCTTCTGGAAGGCAGGTTTGTGTCTTCTGTAGTTCTTGCCTGATCACTGAGCCCAGCATGTAGCAAGCACTCAAGAAACGTTGCTTGCTGAATTAAACAACAAATGGGCTCACCATTAAAGGATGAGAAAGACAATTAGCAAGAACGGGTTAAGTATGATGCAATATGAAAGCTGCTTTTAACAAAAGAGAAAACATTCTAGAAGCCCTGAGGGAAGTTCAATGAACTTCAGGCACAATCAGAGAAGGCTTCCATAAGAGAGGAGGTAAAGGAAGAAAAGAATCCAAGCAACGTTTCTAATTTGGGTCCAAATGCTACACGGACACTTCTGGAAAGTCCTGAACAGAGACTGGCCAAGTCTGCTTCAGTGGCCGGAGCAGAGGGAGTGACCAGGATGTGCCAGTATCCAAAGCGCGGGCCCAAGCTGGAGGGAAGCCATCTACCGAAGCTGCGCAAAAGCCCTCCCCAAGGTTGGGCATTGGCAGCGTGGCAGGACCCGCAAGCCCCGCACTGGACAGTTACCATCGTGTCCGGCCGTCGCCTTGGCCTTCGGAGCCTGTGTACAGCCGTGGGAAGAGCCCCGACCGCCGCTTGATGGGGCTCCGCGACTGGTTCTTTACCGCTGCTGCCGGAGGCTGCCAATAAAACCGCCAACATGAGCGCTCCCAGCCCACCCCAGACCCCGACTGCTCTCACCCCCCTTTCTGGTCTACAGATAGCTCCTGCAGCCCCCAACCAGTCTGGAGGAGATCCCAGAAAATAGCAAGGCAGCTGGGAAGGCTAGGATCTCCGTAACGGGAGCTGAGACCCCGAGACTCCAGCCGTTGCAGCCGGCTTTCCTGTGTTCTTCAGGCAAACCCCGTGGCCCCACATAATCATCACCAAAGGCCAGAGCTCTGGGAGGAACAGGGGTCAGGGCCCCCATGAAGAGAGCCCAGCATATCAAGAAGGCCAGGACGGTTCAGGGGGTCACACACCGAGAACCACACGGCTGAGGGAGCCCTGGGAGTGACCTGGCCCAACTCCTCGCTTTACCAGTGAGGAAGCTGAGGAGCCAAATGGCGAGGGGTTTGGGCTAAGGTTATGGAGCGAATTGCTGGCAGGACAGGGACGAGAACCCAGGGCCCCGGCTCTCCGTCCATTCCTCACAAATAACTGGGTCCAAGCTGGGCACCTCAATAACAAGATGGAACGAGACTGGCAGAGCCAGGTCCACAGGCCGAGGGAACCCGCCAAAAATGAGGCTCTGTTTCAGCACATGTGGCGGGGGGGGGGGGGGGAGCGTGGGGCTGAGGAAAGGGAGACCGAGGCCGTTCTTCAGAGCCCACCTGCCTCTAGCGCAGGCCCCAACTTCTGCTGTTCGTGTGCTGTGCTACCTGGGGTGAGAAGCCAAACTCTCTGGGCCCCAGTCTCCTCACCCACAGAATGCGGATGACTGTCCCGCCCTGCAACTTTCACAGACCTTCAGGGTGAACAAGATACAGCTGGGAAACTATTTGGTAAGTTCAATGAATTGTGTAAGACCACTTGCAATACTAATCCTTAGTATCAAGATGGGTGTATTCTCATGGAACACTACATCTAAAACTAATGATGTAATGTATGGGGATTAACATAAGAATAAAAAATTAAAAAAAAAAAAGATGGGTGTATTCTGTTTGAAAAAGAAAAGAAAACCCTAGTCTATATGAATCCAAAGTCACTTTGTTCTTCAAATGGACCAGCTACGTGGTTCCTTCACCTGGCCAGTCGCTGGTGCAAGCAGACCAGGCCCAAACCCACTGCCACGCCAGGCTCTTGCCTTGGGAACTGCACACACAGTGATTAACAGCAAAGACTTTGGGTCGGGGAGACGTGGGTTCAAATCCCCAGCTCTTCAACTTAGCTAAGTGACCGGGAGCAGGTCACTAAACCTCTCTGGGCCTCCTTTCCTCAAATCTGAAATGGAGAACTCATCAGTTCCTACCTCAAAGAGCTGTGACAGGGATCAGCTGAGAGAATGTCCGTGCATGACTTCTCTCAGGCCCTAGGGCACAGTAAGCCGGGGGGTGGCTACTGCAATTAATAACAAAGCGAGGCCACCCCTCCTGGGTCCCAAGCCCCTGGGCAGAGAAACGTGCCCCAGAACCACTCTTCAGGGCAGGCCCCGAGGAGGAGACCCAGTTGTCAAAGGAACTCCAAGAACAGGATAACGGGCGGGCTTCCAGGCTGGGCCAGCCCCAGCTGTGCCTGGGACGGAGGCTGCATTTCACAGGCGGGGCCTGGGGTCACCCTCCAAACAGCCCCAATCCCCCCGGTGCCTGCTCTGGCCTCCTCGCCCAAGCCTGGGTCAACAGACCCTCCTTCGCAGGCCTGCGGGGGCGGCTCCCCGGGAACCGTGGCTGCCCCAGGGCCTGCGGCACTCACCGAGAAGGTGGCCTTGGTGACCTCCGTGCTGGTGTGTGAGATGCCGCCACTGAGGCTACCGGGGATGCCCCCACCGTGCTGCTTCTTCTGGCTGCTCACCATGGTCTCCATGGAGTGGCTGCGCACGCGGATGGCCCTCTGTGGGGAGACGCGCAGGGACCCGATCGCCGGAGCCCGGCCCGCCGGCTGCCCCTGCCCTCCCCGTGGGGTCCGCAGACACAGCCCTGGGCTTGTGCACGCTCCTGCGCCGTCTGGCCACACAGGGCCCTGTGCCCATTTAGGGCCACCAGAGAGCAAACAGTGACGTGTCCAGGAGGGGACGGTGGGATGACCAGGGGCTTGTTTGTCAGTGTGTGTGGATAAGAACAGCTGAAGTCAAGACTGCCGAGCCTACGGCAGGGACGGGCCTGGGAGGTGACAAATGCTCCCCCAGACCACTCTGCAGGTCTCTGCTGTTCTGGAACCAGACCCAAGGGCAGTGGCCACACTGAGGACAGCTAGTTAACACAGAGGGAGCATTCCCACAGGCCCTGGACCTTTTAGTGTTGCCCTAATTTTAGGAACACATCTGGTTTCCCTAGCTGACTGGATGCTCCTTAGAGGCAGAGGTCAGGTCTGACCTTCTCTGACTCCTCTCCTGCAACTGTCCCGGTCCCAGCACGGGGACAGACACACGGGAAGCATGCAGAAGGAAGAGTAGCCACATTTCCTGAGGACTTAGGATCGCCAGGCTCTCTGCAAAGAGCTCGAGATGTATTCTGACCACCAGCCCCTGGTGTGGATATCCTCCATCCCACTTCACAGGTAAGGCTCAGAGAAGCTAAGTGACCTGACCAGGGGCCCCCAGCTAATAGGAGGTAGAACAGAGGGCTGACACATGCGAAGATACACAATCGGAGACATGAGTTGCTCATGTAAAAGTGCCATCCCCACCATATTCCTCAATGGCAGAGCCACCGTCTCGTCCGATTTCCCCTCTTCCTCCGTGGAACAAGGGAGTAAATTACGATCAGTCTAAGGTGGTCGCCGAACCTCTCCCCTTGCCTGAGGGGATGCCTGCTGGGAGCTGGGGGGAAAGGTTTCCTCAAGGACAGCCAAAAGAGAGGTGACATTCTGCACCTGAACTGCAGTAGCCCCCGGGGCGTGACGGGTCAAGCCCGTGGGACGAAGGCCACAAGCCAGGATGGCAGAGGGGAAAGGGGAAAGAACCCGGATGCCGAGGACCCCACTGAGCCACAAGTCACCCCAAGCCTCCTCGTTAAGTGGGCTCGTGGGTTTTCCTTACTGGGGGAGCCGGCTGAGGTTCTCAGAAACTTAGCTTCAGAAAATGGACTCAGAAGGACAATGGTAGGGATGCAGGAAGCCGATTCAAGAAGGAGGGCCATTTGCAAACACGGCCACCCTGGAGACTTGCTACTTTTGCAGATGAGGCACGGAGCCCACCAGCCTCCTACCCCTGATGTCATCCAGCCTTTGTGTGAGTCAAAGACAGCGCCTGAGGGACATCATCGCTCTCCCTTTCTAAACCACAGAAGAGAATCGCCTAGCAACAGTTTCCAGCCAGTACATTCTATTAATTCCATCACCCAGAGACAACATTAAGTCACACAGCCTTTGAAAAACTGAGAGCAGGAATGGTGTGGCACTACATTGAGGTGTCCCGGGATAAACAGCAAGGTCCCTTCAGTGAGTCAAGTGCTCCATAAATCTCAGCACCACGACATTCTGCCGGTGCCCTCGTGGGTGTCACCACCACCATCAACAGTAACGTGTCAGTTAATCACGTATGTTCTGAGGCATTCCTCATGGTCTCTTTCCAGGAAAGATTTGATGCAGTGTGATAGGCTCTGGTCTACTGAGCTTCATATCCGTGAACTTATTGAATCCCTACAACTCTGAGATGCAGACAGGACAGGCACTGATAGAAAAGGCAAACAAACGATCGCCCAAGGTCACGCTGCAGGTCGGAGGTGGAGCTAGGACCCAAACCCAGGCCCCTGGGCTCCAGATGAAAGGGTCCCTGGTATCCCAAAAAGGGGTCCAGACTGAACACAGAATTGAACCGGTTGATGGACTAAGGATGATTAGAAATCAAGGGCTCCCAGCCTCTCCTCGAAAAAAGTCTTCAAGGCTGATGTCAGGGAGGATATTTTCTCCTCAGATGCCCCTTGGTGCTGCTGTCTGAGCCAACAAGGTAAGTCTGAGGAGACAATGGGCTGGCTGGCAGGGAATTCCGGGGATGTACGGGGTGGCCATCTGCTGCTTGAAGCTAACAGAAAGAGGGCTGAATCCTGGTCTTCCCAACACCGTGTGTGAACCTCTCTGGCACACAGCCTCCTCGTCTATACAACGTGGTGATGGTCCTGCATGAGGACGCCAGGAGACGGTGTGTGCCAAATAGCTGGTGTCAAACCCGCTCACTGGGGGCCAGCTCTCCTGCCCCGCTCTGCGAGACCCCACGGTTGCTCAAAACTTTAACTTTAAGCCTGATTTGGACAAAATCACCCAGTGATATGGTCTGAAGTGTTTTATGTTTCAATCTGATGTTGAGCTGGAAACACCAGCCTTCTCAAACCGGGCAGAAGATTCAGGGAAAGGGTGAAGAGAAAGGACAGTCTCCCCTCCGCTTGAATCTTCCCAGGGACGGGCTGCTCACTGCGTTCAAAACTGCCTGTTCCAGTGGTGGAGAGCCTGACCTTTGCAAAGGTCTTCTGTGCACTGAGCTGAAGTCTTACCTGTTCTAGACCTTGGAGTCTTTGGCCAGTCTATTCCGTATTTCACCCAACTGTCCCTCAACTGTCTGAGGACAGTCTTGAGGTCCTGAGTCTGCTCTCTTCCCGGCTAACCACAGCTGGTTCCAGTGTCCCTCCTCAGCCCTGGTGTTTTCCCAGCCCTCTGCTCACCCCATGGCTTACCTTGGAACAGGCTCTCCTTTGGAGGGGGGAGGGGCAAGAAAAAAGAGATGGTGTCACTTTCTCTTTATCAGCTTATGTCACTTCATGTCAGCTGGGGTTTGAGCTACCAGTCAGCATTACGCAGGGAACAAGTCTCTTCTGGGCCAAGCACGAGCCCTGCTTCCTTATGGGTTTGTGCTTCCTTATGCTTCCAAATGGGTTTTAGGAGTTGGCTCAATTCCACAAACTTAAGGGACACAAAGCACAGGCATGAGCACTAAGGCGGGGCGGGGTGCCTATCTGTGCCAGGCAAGCAACAGAGGGAGGGGTGCTTGGGGAGAAAGATGCCAACTGCTTGCCTCCTGAGATCACTCCTAATCAGGAGGCACCCTGAGGGACCCTGAGGACTAGAACAGGGTCTTCTGCCCCCCTAGCAGGGCAAATAAAGGATGGAGGTTGACAGGAGAGGGAACTATCCCTCCCATCTGCAGAGACCAGAGCTCCAACCCGTGAGCCACCCAGGCTGCCCCTGCTCGCAGGTACTTTGCCTGGGGAACCGCAGCCTGGTGCTCTTCTCCTGCCACTGGGGGTCAGAGTGCACCAGCGCACTACCTGCCACTGCCCCCCAAAGTGCTGGGAGACAGTCACCTGCCGCGGCCCCCATTCTGCCACTGGGCCTTTTCCTCCCTGTCCTCCATTCCCCCTCCTGCATGATGACGTTAATGGAGGGCTGGGCTAGCTCCCTGTTTCTCAAAATGTGGCTCCCACGTGCTTTGCGCACAGATCACATGGCTACGTCAAGGAGCGTTACTTTACTTTTCATTATAGACCAATAAAAATTTCACCAACAGCGGGCAGTGGTGGAGAATGGCACTGAGAAAAATGGCCTAGAGATCGACGCTTTTCAAAGGCGAATAACGTCATCTCTTTTATAAAGGAAAATATTCTTGCAAGCCCAAGAATACATCCACCGACACCGCCCCCCACCCCCCACAACACCCCCCCAACAGTGGCTCCATGGGCTGCATTTGCAAGATACCTACTTATTCCACAGAACTGTCTTTTAATTGTGTGTTTCACTGCAAAAGTTTAGTCCCTATAATTGGAAATATGTATATTTTTAGATGATCATCTAAGTGAAAATGCAAAATTTTTAAGTGTTGGTAGAACTGGCAGATTCCTGAGACTATCTCTAAGCATTCCGTCTGAGAAACAGGTCTGGACGTCCATGAACCAACTGTTCCATTTCACATGGAAGAAAAGCTTAAATCACAGCCAGTGGATTCGAGGTAAGAAGGGAGAGCTATGCTGCGCAGTGTGAGGCACCAGGCAGCACGATCTAGGGCAGCGATGGGTCTGCTTCCTGGGAGAGGGAAGAATCGTCCCATGAGGCCAGGGGATGGATGGCTGAGATTGCTTCTAGCCCTGGGAATTCTCAGCTGTTTCCACGTGAGAGGAGACCTTTGACCAAAAGGAGACAGAACACACAACTCTTCTTTCTGAAATCATTTCGTGCTCTTCTTTCAAGAGGGATCCCATGGAGGTGCGGGTGAGGAACTCCATGAGACGTTCCAGTGATTCTGACACCACGGCAGCACCCTGGGGGCGCATGAAGAAATACCAGACTGAGAGGTGGTCTCCTGAGCTGGATCCTGGCATAGCCCAGGCATCAGAAACCGCTGGGGCCACCGGGCTCCGTGCTCCTGCGCCTGACTTGCCCCCAGCTTTGGCCTCCACAGCCTGGGAGATGAGAAGGTCATGGTGGAAGGGACACGGGGCAAAAGAGCCCACATTCCCAACTCGGGGAAGCTCGTCATGATGATGAGAACTCTGAGGCTTACCGCGTGACTGCCTGTGACACGGAAGCGCTACCTCAGGGACAGGCGGGGAAGCAGAAGCTGCAAGCAGATCCGTCTTCAGCCCACAGGTGGAAGGATCAAAGGCTGAACAGGAAAAGGCCCTGAACTATTGGATCAAAGACGGTAACGATAAAGTCTCGAAGCCTCTCCTCTCTTAGAAACCCCTTCAGTCGATTCTAAGATTTGCGAGTTTTACTATTACATGCCGGGGTGTTGGCCTGTTTTCCTTGATCTTGGGAGGGGTCCTCTCTGCCTCTAGGACACGAGAGGCAACCCACAGAATGGGAGAAGATATTTGCAAATGACACTACAAATAAAGGGCTGGTATCCAAGATCGATAAAGAACTTCTCAAACTCAACACCCAAAAAACAAATAATCAAGTCAAAAAATGGGCAGAAGATATGAAAAGACCCTTCTCTGAAGAAGACATACAATGGCTAAACAGACACATGAAAAAATGTTCATCATCATTAGCCATCAGGGAAATTCAAATCAAAAGCACACTGAGATACCACCTTACACCAATTAGAATGGCAAAAATTGACAAGGGAAGAAACAAATGTTGGAGAGGTTGTGGAGAAAGGGGAACCCTCTTACACTGTTGGTGGGAATGCAAGTTGGTACAGCCACTTTGGAAAACAGTGTGTAGGTGCCTCAAAAAATAAAAAATAGAGCTACCCTATGGCCCAGCAATTACACTCCTGGGTATTTACCCCAAAGATACAGATGTAGTGAAAAGAAGGGCCATATGCACCCCAATGTTCATAGCAGCAATGTCCGTGATAGCCAAACTGTGGAAAGAGCCGAGATGCCCTTCAACAGATGAATGGATAAAGAAGATGTGGTCCAGGGGTGCCTGGGTGGCTCAGTCATTAAGCGTCTGCCTTCGGCTCAGGTCATGATCCCAGGGTCCTGGGATCGAGCCCCGCACTGGGCTCCCCGCTCCACAGGAAGCCTGTTTCTCCCTCTCCCACTCCCTCTGCTTGTGTTCCCTCTCTTGCTGTATCTCTCTCTCAAATAAATAAATAAAATCTTTAAAAAATTAAATTAAATTAAAAAAAGAAGATGTGGTCCATATATACAATGGAATATTACTCAGCCATCAGAAAGGATGAATACCCAACTTTTACATCAACATGGATGGGACTGGAGGAAATTATGCTAAGTGAGATAAGTCAAGCAGAGAAAGTCAATTATCATATGGTATCACTTATTTGTGGAACATAAGGAATAGCATGGAGGACATTAGGAGAAAGAAGGGAAAAATGGCGGGGGGGAATTGGAGGGAGAGATGAACCATGAGAGACTATGGACTCTGAGAAACAAACCGGGTTTTAGAAGGGAGGGGGAAGGGGCATGGGTTAGCCTGGTGATGGGTATTAAGGAGGGCACGTACTGCATGGAGCACTGGGTGTTATACGAAAACAATGGATCGTGGATCACCACATCAAAAACCAATGATGTATGGTGACTAACATAACAATCAAATTAAAAAAAAAAAAAGAAATGAAACCCCTTCAGTCGGAGCCACTGGAGGCAAAGGCAGATCAATGGCTCCCCCTCCAGAGGCAGGGGACCGGACAAAAGGCCTCAGGCCGCCCTCCTTTAAGACCCACAGCCTGCGTGTAGCTGCTGGGTCGTTTTCTTCATGGGCACCATGGGCAGTGTCCGCAGCCCACAAGCTTTTCCAGGTTATAAAAACCCTTGAAACTTGAAAAAAAAAAAATGGTGAACTTCCAAATACAGAAAGAAACTTGCAAACCTGAAAGCAACACACGCTTCTTTAAAATCTGCAAACTATCACATTATGTTAGCTGGTCCCCTACAGCTGAAGCCATATATAACTTACAGCTCCCGTGGGGTGTGGGAGCATTGGGATATGCTTGACGTGGTGGGGGTGCGGCCTACACAGGTGTTCCTATTTACTGGGCCTCACCCTATTTACTGGGCCTCACCCCCCGACCCCAGGCTAGCCGACCTGGCGCCCTCTTTCCTCCCCGGCCCCTCCTCTGCCTCACGTCCCTCTCCTCCTGATCTCCACTTTCTCCTGTTTCGCCCTGGCTCCTGCTGTCCATGAAGCCTGAAACAGCTGCCCCAGGAATGTCCCACCAGCCTGGACAAGGAGCTCGCCTCCTACCCTCCTGCCCCCTTGAGGAATCTCAGCAGCCATGCCCTGCTCTCTGCAGGCCAGCCGGGCAGCCAGGGACAGACCCCAGGCCTGCCCAGGCCGCGCTAGCGTGGGTAGAATCTTACCGGAGCCGGGAACCAGAGGCCGGCTCGCGGAGAACACAGGCTCTGCAATCAGCAGACTCGGACGCAACTTACTTTGTCTCTTTGAGCCTTCATTTCCTCACACGTAAAATGACACCCATAGTTCATCGAATCGGGAATGCACTATTATCCCCATCATAACAGCCCTCCACACAGGGCACCGAGGGCACTGTGAGGCCTTACATGGGACGGTGCGTGTGGAGCGTCCACCCGACCCAACACCAGCCGCTGACACTCTCCCTGAGCGTCTGCCATGTTCCAGGCAACGCACACTGCCGGGCATCCGGTCTGACTTGGGCGAGCTCCTCCAGCAACTGCGGACGTCCGACTTACCATCCCTGTGTCGTTGAGGAGAACCCTGCAGCTCGGAGACCCGATCACACCGGGGGAGCTGGGGATCTAACACACGCAGGGCTAACTCTGGCCCCCCACACACTGGCCCCTCACCAGTCATTCTGCAATGGGCAGTCCGGCAGAACGCTAACCTAAGAACCAGAAAACCTGAGCCTGTTTCTCTACCTGTAAGGAGGTGTAAGATTTGGAGCAGTTCTGTCGCCTCCCTCGGTCTGTCCCCTCCTGTGCACGTGGGAAGGACGAGGTCTGCCCCGCTGACTGCACAGGAGAACAGCCAGGGTCAAGCTCGGTGCTGTGCGGACCACAGCGCTCAGGGAGCCCGGGACCAAACACCTCCTGTACCTCACGCCGGCCCAGGGGCTGGCCAAGCTCTACTTGAATACTGCCATGAACAGGGAGCTCACTGCTTCTTTTAGCAGCTCGTTATGTTATGGTTAGAAAGTTCTTCCTTTTGCAAAGTCCACAGGGAGTTACTTGCCTGTAACTCCATCGCACTGGCCCTGGCCAGGTCCTCCAATGCCCTGCCAGTTGGAAAAACTCATTGCCAGTACCGCACAGTGGCTGCCAAAGACCCCAAACGAAGGCTGTGTCCTCGCTCGGGTCCTCCTGCCCTGGGCTCCTCATCCTGACACAGAAGGAGGTGTCGAAGGCAGTAACGTTCTTGGTTGGGACTGGTTCCTCTCCTGCTGCCGACTCTCTCCCTGTCCCTGCTGCTCAGGCTCCTGGGCCGGGAGATGATCCGCATCAAGGAAGGATGTGGAGGACGCTGGGGACGCCGCCGGCTGCTCTGACGGCTCGCGCTTCCTGACGGCCCCGCCCTCTGCCAACACCGCCATGCTGGCACTCGGGCTCTGGGGCCGGCGACCTTGCACCCCGTCCCTTGTGCGTCCCCCCCACCACACACGGTGCCAGCCACTCTTGTGCCCGTACCTTGAAAGACTCCAGGAATCCCCCATGGCCCCCATTCTCAAACTTGTCCTCTTCGGGGCCCAGCCCCAGCATAGCCTGCGTGTGCACGTGAAGCTCATCGTGGAGGTTGTCCAGCAGGGCGGCCCTCGTCCGGTCCTGAACGGAAAGACGGTGGGGATGATGGCGTTGGCACGGAGGACAGAGACGGGCCCTCTCCCTGGGGTCTCCCGACACCTAGCCACCAGCATCCCGGGACAGCGTGGACCCGAGGCCTGGCTGGGCTCCCTGCTCACAAATACCGCAGCTACCACGAAAGCTCTGTGGCTGGCCTCTGCCCTCTTCCCCTGCCCCTTCTCCGTGGGCCGTCCCATGCCTCTAACCTACTGACTCCCAGCTCGGACCTCTGCCCCAAGCTCCACAGCCAGGTACCAGGGGCTGGCCCAGGGCTGTCAGCACGGCTCTTCTCAGTCCGGACGGTGGAACAGGGCCACGCAGATGACCTCCAGGGGGCGCCATTCACACACACCAGCCACAGCCCCTGCAGGCACCTCCCCCAGCAGAGCCTCACAGACCTCGCCTCCCAAAGGCCCCCATGTCAGTGCCCAAGAGCCGCCCGGCAATTCCACTTCGCCCCACCCTATGCATACAGGAGTCCATAAAGTCTTCCCGACCCTGACCCCAAACCATTCCCTCCTGGACTCCTATAACAGCTTCTAACCTGCCACCCTTCCTGCCCTCCTCCCTTCTCATCGATGCCAGAGTAATCTAACACACTAAGTACTTTATGAGCACCTCATCACTTCCAGAGTTCAAAGCCCTTCCTGACCTGACCCAAACACCACCACCTCCAGCTGAGTCTCCACCCCCACACAAGTCCTCCTCTCAGGCCCCCTCAAACCCTCTGGAGCTCCCTCAAAAGTCATGCTCTGATCTGCCTGGCCTTTGCTTATGCTGTTTCCCATGCCTGGAATAACCCTCCCCAATCTTTCCTCCTGGCAAAAGGCTCATCAGATATCTAAATTCAGCAGCTCAAGGGCTACCTCCTCCAAGAAGCCCTCTCTGAACACATCCCAGTTCCTCACAGGCAGAAGCAGTCACAGCCCCTGTGCTGGCCTCCATCATAGCCCCGTGCCGACACCGTGCCATAACCTGTCTCTTAAGTAATGACCCCTTCCCACCAGCCCAAAAGCTCTGGAAGGCAGAAACTGTGCCTCACTTGCCCCTGTATCACAGGGAACAGAACAGAGCCTGGCACACAGCAGGTGCTCAATAAATGACCAGTGAATGGTTGGCTAGACCTAAGGTTTGGGTGGAGTTTCCACAAGAAGAAAGAGTTTCTATACCAACACAGGGCTGAAGGCTTCAAGGGGCGGGCAAAGACGGCGCTCCTCACCTTGCGCAGCCCCCAAGAACAGACCCCCAGGAGAGACTGGCTAACAAGCAGCCAGCAAGGCAGGAGGAAGATGTCCAGAAACAGCGCACTGACCTCCAGCTTCGCAAACTTGTCTGACTTGCAGCAAGCGTTCTCTGCGTTGGTGAGCTTGGTGAGCAGAAACTCCCTGAACTCCGGGCCCTGGAACAGACAAGAAGCTCGGCGACTCCCCCAGTCTCAGCTGTTGCTAAAAGGGCTTTCAGCCACAGTGACAGCTACGCAGAATGGGGCTTCTGGGGAGAGCCCCTAAAGGGTCCCCTTCGGGCATCTGGTCATTTTCTAGCCCAGACCAGGACCACCTGCTAAGATGCCGACTGGTGGAAACCAGGTGTCCTGGTCCCGGGAAATCAACCCCCTCCACACCATTTCCATGACTGGAGGCAATTTTTGTCCGAGGCTTCTCGGAATGAGGCCTAAGTGCAAAAACCCTTCTTCTCGCGGAAAGGCAACCCCAGAGTCAAACACCCTGACAAGAAGTGCTGTGCTAGACCAGACTGGCAGCGCGAGGAGCGGTGGGAGAGACCCCAAGTAAGAGATCCTCCCAAGCCTGCCAAAGGTGCTCCAGCCCAGATTTAGCCCCACTGCAGCCCCTGCCGCTCAGATACTGAAACCCGGAGTCTCAGGTAAGAGGAGAGCAGGGAGGGGAATTCCTTACCTTCTGGAAAACAGGAGGGCTGGGCAGAGGGGGGCCAAAGGCGGGCACATCTTCCCGTGCAGTGACTGAGACCTGAAACAGAGTGTTGGTATGGGCCGGGGGGGGGGAAGAGATCCAAGCTGAGGAAGATAATGCATCCTGAGCCCTGGCCCTAGGGACGCCCACTGCTCACAGCACACCTCCGCCCCTCCCCAGAATCCAAACACAACCTTCCCACAAGCCATCACCAGTAGGGCCGCGTGGCCGCTGGTACAAGTGGGGCTGGACGGCACAAAGCCATCCGCACGCTCCCATCTGCATTCCTGGAGGCCAGCAGCAAGTCTGGCAAGATGGCTGGACAGGGCTGAGGCGTCGCCTGGGGCCTGACTTCGAACGCAGCCCAAGTGCCCAGGAGGCCCTACCTGTTGCCTCATCTGACTGGACAGTCACCCCACGGAGAAGGCAAAGTGAGAATTGCTGGCCCTGCTTTACTGACGAGGAGACACGTCCAGAGACTGGAGCCATCTCCCCACAAGCACACAGGTGATGGGTCAGCCGCAGAGACGACCAGAGAATCCAGACCCCCGACCCCGCTGTGGGGCTCGTATCCCACAACGCTGGCTCCCGAGCCTGGCCATACATCAGAATCACTTCAAGTGTTTAAAAAATAAATACCGACTGCATGGGCTCCACCCCAAACCTCCTGAATCACAAGCTCTGGGGTGGAGCCAGGAATGGGCAACTGTTACATGCTCCTCAGAGCTTCTGTGCGGTTGGCGGACCAGGTCAGACGGCCTGGCTAGGGCCTGAAGTGAGCGCCAGGGCCCAGGCTGGGAACTGCGGGTGGGGGGACATCCAGCTGCCCCACACAGGGTGCGCCAGGCTCTGGCCAGCCTGAGGAGGCAGGAACTAACGCAGTGGGAGGCTCCCAGGCGCAGGACAGGCCCCACACGTCCAGCTGCTCTCCCTGCATGGAGGTGCCCCGGTTTCACCCGTTCTCACCCACGAGGCCACAGGCCTCTCTGGAGACTCTGCCCTCTCCCTCTCCCAGATGGCCGCTGACATGAGCCTGGCCCTGGCGCGCCGCCAGCCTCCCTGGCCTGTGAAGTAGGGCAGATGCCAAGAGCCTGCCAGACCGGGCGAGCAGGCAGCTCGGAGCCAGGCCAAGGGAAGGCCCTGCCAGGGTCTGGAAGGATAAAGTGGGAGAGAGCTGGTCAGTACGGCTTTCTCTCCCCAAGCTCAAGGCTGTCTGCATGCCCGGAATTAGGAAACGGTGTGTGTTCAGCTGACAGGATTTCTGGCTGGCTCCGGCTGCCCCACACAGTCCCCCACCACCACCCACTGCACACAGGAATCTGGGGAGGGGTGGTGGGAAGGCACCTGGGAGGAGGCCAGGGGTCAGGCCTCTGCCCTCTTGCCACCCCAGGGCCCCCCGCTCCGGCTTACACTAGAGCCATCTGTGCTGACTGGGTAAGGAGCTTCAGACGTGCTCTTCCACCAGCCGGGTCTCCCAGCCCGCCAAGCCCACCACAGCAGCCGTGTCAGAAAAGCAGGAGACAGGATCCTTCCTGGTGACAGTCCTGCATCTTCTGCCCCCACTGTGTTCCCTCTCCTGACCCCTTTCCAACACAATGCCTGGGTCTTTGCTGGTCCCTCCTCTTGAGGACAGGTGGGTTGCTGGGTGGAAAGCAGAAGTCGCCAGAACACAACCCCGTCTTCCGTTTTCTAAAGTCAGTGCGCGCCTCCCAGCAGGGGGCAGGGCAGGGCTGAGGAGAGAGGCTGGAAAGCAGGAGGAGGCTTGGGGCACGAGTACAAGCATCCACCAGGGAGGTGGGGCGCCTCCGGGGGCTCCAAACCTGGGGTGCCACGGCCAAGTGCAGCGGGGCAGCCTTCGAAAACTGTGTCGGGGTGCTCAAGCACCAGATCAGCAGTGAGGGGAAGGGTGCATCCAGGCTCATGTCAGCGGCCATGGACCCCTCCCCAGTGGTGGGCTTCTCATAGGATTCCTGAGACCTTTGCAGGACCTCAGGCACCAGGGCCAGGGTGACCTCAGACGGGAAGAGGAGGGAGTCTGAGTGATGGCTCAGCTGGAGTTCCCTTCCAATCTGGCAGGGCAGGGACAAAATTCATGTCTGAGAAATAATGCGACGTCACCTGAGTTTGGGAGCCAAGTCCCCCTGTTCCGACGGCTCAGGGATGCAGACCACAGGCAGGCCTGGACAGAGACTTCAGCTCTACCACTTCCGGGCTCTGTGGCCCAGGCCTTAAGGAACTTAAGCTCTCAGCCTCAACTTCCTTCTATAAAATAGGGCTAACGAGATCCTGCCTGACCAGGGGCTTGGGAAGATTCAAGAAGACCGGGCTTCTAAGGGCCCAGCACAGTGCCTGGTATAGAGCAAGTACCCGGGGAGGGGCAACCTGCTAGCTGGTGCTTTTGTTTTGTTTTTTCTTACTTTCCCTGCTGACCCAAACCTAATAAAGGACACCCGAAATACTACAGAGTTCCCCTAAACCACTTTCTAATCTCTCTCTCTCTCTCTCTCTCTCTCTCTCACACACACACACACACACACACACACGCCCCTCGTCCTCAGCACCCCCACCCCGCCCCACTTCCCTTCCTGCAGTATATCAGGGCTGGAAGGAACAGAGACGATCTAGTCCACTTCCTCATTTCACACAAATGGAAGCTGAAGTCCAGAGAGGGAAGGAACTGGCCCAAGGTCACAGAGTAGTCAGAGGCAGGGCCAGGACCAGAAGCCCCAGCTCCTGAGCCTCTCGGTCTGGGGGGCCTTTCCTGCACATTCCTACCCTGTCCTTCCCTTCCTTTCCTCCTCTTTCCTGTTCATCCTCCCCAGTGCACAGCTCCCTGGGGCTATCCCAGCCTCCTCTGCCATAGCCCCCAAGTCTGCAGAGGTCAGCGAAGGTCCCATTTCACCCTGGACCCTCTGAGGAATCTGATCAGGTCCTCCCAGTCTTCTCATCACCTGGGGTGCTGCTGGGAGCCTGAATGGACACAGCTTTGGGGAGTGCCTTGGAAGGCTGGGTCCCCTCCCTGCACTCTGCACCCCAGGTCCCCCACTCACAAGTCTTGCCTTTCCGGCCCAGATGTTTGCCCGGCCAGTGCCACACGGTCCCACAGCCTGGGACAGTCCGGCTCTTTCTGTGGGTCCTGCTTCTCTGCCATCATCACCCTCTCTGAGGACAGAGCTTTTCCCTGGACCATGGGCTGTAGCTGGGAAGACTTGGTAAAGACTTCCAGCATCAAAGCTGAAGGTGAGGTGGTGCTTTATCTGGATTGCTGTATTTTCCCACTCTACTAAGCTCTTGGGAAAGTGGAGAAGCCAGTTAGCTGAGTTCCATTTCCTATCGGGAGCTAAAAACAAATACTAAGCATCCACGAGAGACCCCACTCCGCCAGCAGAGGCCCAGCACACAAGCCACACATTCGCACATGACTGCCCGGCAGGGGCAGGGAGCCCTCCTACCACACAGCTTCACCTCGAGGACCCTTGGCGGTGGCCCTCTACCTCTACTGGCTGAGAAAAGAGCCAGCTGGCTGGCTGAGCGGCCCAGGGGCTGAACTGCACCTCCATGGTCCTCTCTCCCTCCAGGGAGGCCGGTTCTATATGTCACCTCCACATGCCCCACCCCTAGCCAGGCATACAGGAGCCACCGACTGAATACACTTGCTTCCATCAACAAATCAAGCAGCCGTCTGAAGTGAATGCCCATGTTGGTCTAGGAAGGTGATCCTTCAAGGAAATGCCCAAACCGCAGCTTTTCGGACTTTTCGGCTGAAATTGCTCAGTGACAAAGGAGCAGGAATATGAACATGGGGATATGAAAGAATCAGCTTTCCTCGTAGGAGAGAGTGTGGGGTTTTATTTGTAGTCTCATATTTAGTTTTAAAGTTGGTGCACTTAAAATATGTGGGTTTCTACTGATGTAACAATTACATGACATCATTTTCTTTTCCAAAGTCTTCAAGCAAAGTTGATACTTCGTGAAGATGGCCCTGAAGCACTAGGACTTCATGAGCCCTTGGAACAGCACTGGCCAGGTTATGACATAGTTACTACATTTTCAGGTCTCCCAATTTCCCCTTAGCAATGACGCACTCATTTCCTCTTAGAACAGTGGTTCCTAACACTGTGGGGAACAGGGAGCCCTCTGAGAATTTGAGCTTTGGTCTCTCTCCCCCTAAAACACAAAGCAGCACATAAACTCAACATTTTGTGCATAAACAACATTTTGCACATATCCACAAGGGGTTCAAAGACTAACATCCACATTAAAGACCCTGCCTCAGTCTATCTCCCTTGGATCACACACCCCCACCACCACTGAGATAGAGAGAAACTGTCGCCCAAGAGGTCAGAACTGTTTCTCATGGAGAAGAGAAGGGCAGGGCTGGTGGTACAACCACCAGGAATGGGCAGGGTGGGGATGCTGGGGCTTACCTGCATTAGGGAGGACACTAAGCCATTTTGGAAGACCGCTTATTGACCTGGAGGCTTCAACTCAGCTGCTTGCAAGCCCACCTCCCTGGGAGTCTTCAAATTAAGATCGATCATTTCTTCCAGAACAGCTACACCAGAAGGACCCACCCCATGGCCAGGGTCTACCAGGCCCCCTGTCCTCCACCATTCTCACCATAAACATTTCTCCTTCTACTTTCCTTCCCTTTGTTTGTTACCACCCTGTTTCCTCTCCCTTTCCTGACGGTGCCCCCACCTCCAACCTTCTCCTTTTTTTGTCTCCTCTGGCTTTGCCTTAGTCCAGCCAATGGTCTCACCAGATTCCAAACAGAGGCACCAGGGGCTTCTCAACCCTTGAGTGAGATGCTGTTGAACGCAGAGGCAGCCAGACGGATGAGATGACCTCAGAAGGTGCCTTCCACCAAGAGTCTAGCTCCCAAATCCCAGAAACCTGGGATTTCTAGAAAACTGATCACACCAATGCTAGAAGCATTGCTGAGGAGCCATGGAGAACTAGTGGTCCTTGACATTACTAAATCCAGAAGGTGTGAAGTGCCTGCGCCCCCCAATTCCTCCAACGAGCCGTTCTCCTCACCTTGTAGGATGGGGTCTCCGTGCCTGGGTTCTCGGCCTGCACAACAATGTAGGCATGTAAGAAGTTGGAGGCAATCATATCTGGGACAAATGGTGTATTTTCTTCTTGGAAGATGATGGCCACAATGTCATTCCCAATGTGTCTCTTTCTCTGGAGCTAAACAAAAAGGGGTCCGTTGTTGTAAGCCAGCTAGGAACATCCTGAAAACAGACTAGATCTATACAGGAAATTCCTCATTATTCTATCTTTATACAGAAACCCTGAAAATGAGACCTAGCTCTCCAGGGGAGCTTTTTTCTTTTTTTCAATCTTCAGAAGCCACCAAAAAGAAAAAATGGGGAAGACGCCTAAGATGTTAGGTAGAGGCTAGCGAGCACGTTACTGAGCTCGACAGCATGCAGAGCCCTGACGTAGGGCTCGGGGAGAAGAGTTAAAAGGTGAGGAGCGGGTTTTGCCCTGGTAAAGCCTGTAATGGATCCGGAAGGGACACAAAGGTGGTGAAGCCATCTGAGAATAGTAACAAAGGCACCAGCCAGCACGTGCTACATCAGCTGCCACACACAAAGCGTCTGGCACTCTGGGGGCAGAAAGGAGGGCAAAATCAGAGGCCTGGTGCTAACCCGAGAAGGCTTCCTGGAAGAGGAGGTAGAGATGGGGGAGGGAGGGGGCAGCGCTTGATGGAAATGTGGATGAGCAGGGATGAGCGGGCAGATCATTCTATACCAGAGGGAAGGAGAGCCATGCTTAGAGAAAGAGGGGACCTGGCTTGGCAGAGGTCACGGGAGAGAAATCCAAGCCTGATTCTGTGTCCCAAATGGGGCCAGGTCCTTCCACAGGTGCTCTCAATCACCGAGCACCTAATGTGCATCAGGAACCATGCTGTGGTGCTCACATGCATGACTTCAACTACTGGGGCCATGGAGGCCTGGCGAGGTGCTTACCTATGCATTTGTTCCTTTATTAAGCACCTAAGGCATGCAGGCCCTGCGTTTCACACTGACTTTCTTTATTTACGGAGCACTGCTATAGACTGAGCCCCATGCTGGGCACTTTTACACAAATTGTCTCACTTATCCCACCCACCTCCTCCCATTTCTTGGGAGCAGAAAATTAATATTTATTCAGTCCTTGCAGAGAGCCAAGCTCTGTGTATGTCCCCCTGAATATGGGGGAGACTGAAAGAGAGCCCCAGGCTGGGGCAGGGGGCAAGGAGGCCATGAAGGAACAGAGAAACAAAGGTGGAGAGAAAACCTACTTTGGATTCAAAAGGAATCCTGTTCCCATTTGTTTCTGGAACATTCAGTGGTTATTTTAGAGCCAAATCACAGTCTCATTTGCCAATTTCCTTTTTCCCTAAGAAGCCAGGCACTATGTTTACAGTATTACATCTGTGCTCCCTCCTCAGTTCCCTGCTCAGAGAGGAATGGGTCAGAATCTGGGGAAGAGCCTACCTTCCTTTCTGAGTTTCCTAGAGACTGAAAAGGCACAAAGAGTGGGAGGGGGCAGATGGCACAACAGCCAGGCCCCAGCTGCTGATTTCAGGGCTCACTGAGAAAAGAGCCGGGCCACCCTGGGGACACGCCACTCTCAGAAGCAGCAAATGAGAGGGAGGGCAGGAAAACGCTGGATGCAGAGGTCTCATCCAGGTTCCCTGGTTGAGGTGAAGGCCAAACTCCTGCCCACGAGCAGGTGCAGCAAGGATGAGGCCATGAGACTAGAAAGGTTGAGAGGTGGTGGGGGGGGGGGGTTAAAGCAATGACCACCATGGCTGGGGGGGAGCTGCCATGCCACCCATCACTGGGGCAGGAAGGAGGGCAATGGTCAGGAAGGAAGCCTGCCACAAGCCAGATACCGTACTGAGCCCTACCTTCAGAACCTTCTGTGATGCCCACAACAAGCCCCTGACTTAGGTGGTGGTGTCTGTTTTACAGCTGAGGAACATGAGGCCACAAGGTTCACCAGCTTGCCCGGAGCCAGGTATCCCCACGTGGCAGAGCTGGTATCAAGCTGCTACTTGCAAATGCCAACACATCCTCCTCACCACCACCCACCATGAGCAGGGCACTTGGGACTCTGCTCCCAGCTCTGCCCCTAGTCAACTAGGACACAGTCTTCTAACCACGCTGAGCTGCAGGTTCCCCACCGGGCAGAGCAGAACAACCGGGAGCCCTGTCCTGACTCCCACACAGGGGCTGACGTGCTGCCTGGGTGGGTTAGTGTGATGGAACAGACTGGCCTCCGGATTATGAAAGTGGGGAGGGGGTCCCAGCCCCTCAAGTACCCAAGACCAGAAGCAGGCTTTCACCTCACATGCCCCATGCTCCCAACGCCTTCCCGAACCAGGTTACCTGCTGGGCATCTCCCTCGGTAAATGGCAGCTTTGTGGAGACGTGAAACATGATCTCCCTGTCTCGGAATATCGTGTACACGGATTCCACCCCTGTTTGTCCATGGGTCACATCCAGGCCTCCACGGAAACTGTCAGTAAAACAGGGCAAGAGCAGGGAGGGAGAGAGTGTGAGGAGAAGTAGGCTACGTGGTGCTTTCCCTGAGGCTACGGGGGCAGGAGAAGGAATGAGAAGACACGCGAGAGTGGGGGCACAGAGAGAATTATGTGCACAGCGCAGGTAGGTCCATGCTCCTGAGCACACGAGCCCCGGAGTTCTACCCATAAGCCTGTTATTTAAAAGACACAGGAACAACATCCATACGGTCAGTGGGAAGGGAGGTCACCCATCCGCAGTCCCAGACAAACGTCATCCGAGGTGCCAGTGGCCCCCACGGCTGAGCATAAGCCTTTCCTCTCTGCAAGGCCATGTCCAGATCCTCAGCGCAGAGCCAGGGCAAGCAGCCATCCTGTGGGGAGCATCCAGAATCAGCCTGAAGAGTCTGGATTTCCACCTAGCCAGTCCCTCGTGTGGAGACCCAGCCCCAGCAGCACCCAACCTAGCGGCATCCAAGGAGCCCCTCTCCGGGTATCTCCTCAAAGGCAGGAAAGGAAAGTACTAAGACACTGGGTGGGCTTCCGGGAGCCGCCCCTTCTTCCTTTATAGACATGTGGCTCCCGGCCGTGGATCACATTCTTCAGCAAGGGGAGAAGGATGCAGGTCCTTTAAGAAAATGAAATAAAGCAGACCCTGGACATCAGCCCCACAAGCGCTGTAACACAAACCAGAAAACGTGCCCCGCCCGGCATGGCAGGAAGCTCACCAGCCCAGGAGCCAGGCGCTCCGGGTTCTGCCGCTGCTTCTGCCACTAAATCAGCGCGTGACCTCGGGCACATCACTTCACTTGTCTTAATCTGCCTCGGTTTCCTTCCTCTATACGATAAAGGGCTAGAAGTCCCTGATCACTGGGGTTCTTCCTGGTTTGAAGAGCCTTTATTTCACCTATTCTAAGGCACACCTTTTTTCATAGTTTAACATCTCTGAAATCAGGATGCATCTTACGTTGAAGGCATCTCGGAGTCAATGGAAGGTGGCACAAGAAGAGCAAGAACTCGAAGACTCCCCGTGCTGACTCCACGTGGGGCACCAGCCTAGCTGTTTCACGTGCACGACAACCTGGCGGCGTCAGCACTATCTTTACCCCCCTTTTACAGATGAGGAAACTGAGGCTTTCAGGGAGTAAGTCACTTGTTCAAAGACACAGAGCCAGTAAGTGGTGGAAGTGGGACTTTTAGCCATGTGTGACTGACTCCAGGCGGCCGTGATGACCTTGGAGGGGGAGGCAGACAGAAGAGGGGTGGGATGGGGGGAGAAGAAGAGGAGAAGAGAAGGGAGCGGAGGAAGAAAGTAATTACTGAACACCCACTACACACCAGACCCAGAGCTGGGCACTTGTGCACCTGATAGGAGATTCTGTTAATTTGGCTGCTGAAGCAGGGGGTTCTTGGGGCTCAGCTGTGTGCCAGCCAAAAAGCACGGAACAGGCTGGCCAGGCCGGAAGGCCCTGCTCAAATGCTCCTTTGTCAAGGGAAATCAGGGACCAGAGTCTTCCAAGCAATAGCCCCAAAATTCTTTCTTTCCACTTAGAGAACCAGAGACTACTACATAGGTTCCTTCCAGGGAGATTACTGTATTTCCACCAACTCTTAATTATCCATTCTTTTTGTGTGTTATCTGAAATGGGCCACTTCCCCCAAAACTGCACAGGGCCCTCTTTCCTGAAGGCCCGGCAGGTGAGTGACAGAGAAGGTGGATTCATTTCACTCTTGGTCTGAGCAGTTTCATCATGCATCAGAGGGCCAATGTCGGTGCCGTTCAGATAATGTGCCATTCTGGATTATCCCCCACGTCACCCGTTTCCTCAGGAATGCAGATCACTTGCTGAAAAATGATCCCATGTTTCTTGTGTGTGTTTTTACCTCTCACATACCCCCTGAGACTCAGCTGTTGCCCCTCTCCCTTACTCTAGGCTTTCATCAATGGGGCCGGAGCCATCCGTTGGCTGAAACTTACCCTTTGAAATCCTGCAGTGTGATCGTGTCCCCCAAAAGATCCAAGAATTCCTTGAAAGCTGGGCTCTCCTCATTGTTCCCAAATAGCTCCTCCTCCAGGGTCTGAAAGAGAAACAGAATCAGGGTTAAGAGTCAGAAAAGCATTCTTGATGCCAAGGGAAGGAATGTGGTTGTCCAGCTACCTGGTCCTTTTCTTCCTTTCTCCCTAACCCCCAACACATTTGCCAGCCAGTGGTTCTGCTTGACTGGAGGAAGGACAAATAGCTCACTCAGCAGAGCCGGAACTTCGGGGCTGGTTAATGAGGACTTGCTATCTCAACAAAGGCTGCCGGTCAGTACAAAATGCAAAGCTGAAGCAAAGAGTTCTTAGACTTGATACCAAAAACCATTCCATAAATGAAAAATTAATAGTTGGACTTCTGACCACAATAGCCAAACTGTGGAAAGAGCCAAGATGTCCATCGACAGATGAATGGATAAAAAAGAGGTGGTATATATATACAATGGAATATTATGCAGCCATCAAAAGGAATGAGATCTTGCCATTTGCAACGACATGGATGGAACTGGAGGGTATTCTGTTGAGTGAAATAAGTCAAACAGAGAAAGATGTATCATATGATCTCACTGATATGAGGAACTCTTAATTGCAGGAAACAAACTGAGGGTTGCTGGAGTGGGGGGTGGGGTGGGAGGGATGGGGTGACTGGGTGATAGACACTGGGGAGGGTATGTGCTCTGGTAAGCGCTGTGAATTGTGCAAGACTGCTGAATCTCAGATCTGTACCTCTGAAACAAATAATGCAATATATGTTAAGAAAAAAAAAAAGAAGAAGAAGGTAGCGGGAGGGGAAGAATGAAGCAGGGGAAATTGGAGGGGTAGACGAACCATGAGAGACGATGGACTCTGAAAAACAAGCAGGGTTCTAGAGGGGAGGGGGGTGGGAGGATGGTTTAGCCTGGTGGTGGGTATTGAGGAGGGCACATTCTGCATGGAGCACTGGGTGTTATGCACAAACAATGAATCATGGAACACTTCATCTGAAACTAATGATGTAATGTATGGGGATTAACATAAGAATAAAAAAAAAGAAAACAAACAAAAAAAATAGTTGGACTTCTGACAAAGGACTAGTATCTAGAATATATAAAGAACTCTCAGAACTCAGTAGTAACCAAAATCATAATGAGATACCACTTCACACCCCCTGGGTGGCTATAATCAAAAAGAAAGATAAGAACTGATGGTGAGCGGGCACCTGGGTGGCTCAGTCAGTTGAGCGGCAGACTCCAGATTTCAGCTCAGGTCATGATCTCAGGGTCCTGGGATCGAGCCCCGTTGTCAGGCTCCAAGCTCAGTGGGGAGTTTGCTTGAGGATTTTTCTCCCTCTCCCTCTGCCCCTCCCCCCACTTGCGTGCTCGCTCTCTCTCTCTCTAAAAAAAAATACATCTTTAAAAAAAAAGAACTGATGGTGAAGATACAGAAAAGTCAGAAGCCTTATACACTGCTGGTGGGAATATAAAACGGTGCTGTCTCTTTGGAAAACAATCTGGCAGTTCTTCAAAGGGCTAAGCATAGAGTTACCATATGGCCCAGTAATTCTACTCCTAAGAATATATCCAAGAAAAATGAAAACATAAATCCACACAAAAACTTGCACATGAATGTTAAAAGCAGCATTATTCATAACAGCCCAAAAGTGGAAATAACCAGAATGTCCATCAACTGACAAATAGATAAACGAAATGTGGTATGTCCATACAATATATAATTCTGCCATCAAAGGAATGCACGACTGACGCATGCTACAACATGGATGAAACTTGAAAACATGTTAAGCAAAAGCACATAAAAGACCACATATTATGATTCCATTTATGTGAAGTGTCCAGAACAGCCAAATCCATAGAGACAGAAAGTCGATTTTTGATGATGGGAACTGGAGAGAATGGTGATGGAGTGACTGCTAATGGGTATGGGGTTTCTTTGGGGGTTGATAAAAATTTTCTGGAGTTAGATAGTGGTGATGGTTTTACAACTCTGTGAATATACTACAAACCACTGAATCATACACTTTATTGAGATCTAATTCTCAAACCGTTGTGAATCATATTAAATGTGAGTTACACCTCAATAAAGCTGTTATAAAAAGTTTTTGAACAGTAAAAAAAAAAATCCAATTAGAAAATGGTCAAAAGAGGGGCACCTAGCTGGCTGAGTCGGAGCATGCGACTCTTGATGTCAGGGTTGTGAGTTCAAGCCCCACGTTGGGTGTAGAGATTACTTAAAAATACAATCTTAAAAAGAAAAGAAAAAGAAATGGTTAAAAGACATGAACAGCCATTTCACCCAAAGATATATATATATCTGTATACAGATGGCAAATAAGCACATGAAAAGATGTTCAACACCATTAGCCACCATTAGAAAAATATAAATTAAAACCATAATGAGACATCACTACACATCTATCAGAATGGCTAAAATTAGAAAATAGTAACAACACCAAATGCTGGTGAGGATGTAGAGGAAATGGATTATGCATACATTCCTGGTAGGAATGCAAAATGGAACAATCACTCCAGAAAACAGTTCAGCAGCTTCTTACAAAACTAAACATGTAATTACCATAAACCCAGCATATGCTCCTCAGCATTTGCCCCAGAGAAATGAAAACTTACGTTCACCCAAAAACCTATATACAAATGTTCATAGCAGCTTTATTCATAATAGCCTCAAACTGTAAACCACCCAGATATCCCTCAAAGGGTGACTAGTTAAACAGACCATAGTATATTTATACCATGGAATGCTATGCAGCCATGAAAAAGAAATGAACCCTACTGATACACTTAAGAACTTGGATGAATCTCCCTGAATGGGAAAAAGAGCCAATACCCAAAGGTTATATATAGTGTATGATTCCACTTATGTAACATTTTTGAAATGACAAAGCTTTAGAAAGTGGAGAATACATTAGTGGTTGCCAGGGCTCAGGGACTAGAGGTGGGAAGGGATGATGGAGGCAAGAGGGAGGTGAGCATGCTTATGAAAGGGCCACACAAGGGATCCTTGTGTTGCTGGACTTCTTCTGTATCTTGACTGTGAAGGCTACACATATAATAAAATTATATACTACGAAACACACACACACACACACCGATGGTCGCATGCAAAACTAGGGAAGTCTGAACAAGATCTGAGGATTGTATCTCACTCACTCACACACACACACACACACACACACGATGGTCACATGCAAAACTAGGGAAGTCTGAACAAGATTTGAGGATTGTATCACTGTCAATATCCTGGCTGTAATTTTGCACTATAGTTTTATAAGACATTACCTTTGGGGAAAACTGGGTAAAGGGTACAAAGAGCTCTCTGTATTATTTCCTGTAACTGCATGCCAATCTACAAATATCTAGAAATTAAAAGTTTAATAATTTTTTAAAAAGTAGAAAGCAAAGCTGAAAACAGTAGTAAGCTCTGCACTTGTGACAGGCTTCAAACAGTGCGTGGCCCTGCCTGATCAGCAGGCTCTGCGCACCGTGGCAGGATCGGCAAACAGCCGATGACTCTGCAAACATCCACAGACGGCAATTAACAGCTGCAGATGACACAGGAAACTCCAGTATGCACAATCGCTTCAAGAAGAAAGCCTCTAATAGGTGACTCTTTAATATCTCCTTTACACTTGCTTTATTACAAAAAAGAGCAGATCCCACGTTCTATGCCTTCAACAGGCAACAGAATCTAGCTAGATTTCAATAACTTTACTCTTTTTTTTATAGTACTTCTGTTTAGAATTACCTTCATTTCATGCAAGGGATACTGATTTTCTAATTAGAGTAGTGATACAAAATTCCCTTTAAACAATGGACTTAAGGTGAAAAAAAAACTTAAGGAAAATGTTAGGTAGTTAATACTATAGGTGTGACAAAAAGTGTAACAGAGGCAAACGGTAGAAAATATGATCTTGGATGTCATTTGTGAATGTCTGAAGTTTGGGAAACACAGCCCTCTAGGAGGGGTCAGCAAACTATGGCCCAAGGGCCACATCCAGCCTGCTGCTTTATAAATAAAGTTTTATTGGAACAGGGCCAGGGCAATTCATTTAGTTTTGTCTATGGCTGCTTTTGCACTACAAAGGCAGGGTGGGGTAGTTCCAGAGAGACAGTATGGCGCATGAAATCTAAAATATTAACTATCCAGCCATTCACAGAAAGTGTGCTGAGTCCTGATGTATACAGAGCATGCTACAAAGGCATCACAACCCTGACCCAGCATGCTGTTTACCCCAGGTCATGAGGCCGGAGTGTGGGAGAACAGCTGCTTCTGGGTAACAGACAGCTTCTCCTGGGAAAGCAATCCAGCTCGCTCGCTTGCTTGCTTGCTTGCTTCCTTGCTTATTTATTTATTTATTATTTATTTATTTATTTTAAGTTTTATTTATTTGACAGAGAGAGAGACAGCGAGAGAGGGAACACAAGCAGGGGGAGTGGGAGAGGGAGAAGCAGGCTTCCCGCCGAGCAGGGAGCCCGATGCGGGGCTCGATCCCAGGACCCTGGGACCATGACCTGAGCCGAAGGCAGACGCTTAATGACTGAGCCACCTCGGCATGTGTAACGAGGTGCCCCAGCAATCCAGCTTATTCACTGGGGTGTGCAGCTCTCTCTAGGATTTACACCCAGCCTGGGACTAGCATAATCTTTATTTTTACACTGTCCATGAGTTTGACCATGCACTCAGGGAGGGGGTCTTAGTCATCACTGTGCTTGACAAACAGGAGAATTAGATGGGATTTATTTATATCCTAAGGACAACATAGAGCTTTCATGCAATAAATGTTCATACTAACTGCCCCACGGATATAGGTCTGCAAAACAGTAACTTTTTAAAAAGTTTTTTAAAAAAGACTTTTATCTCCCTGTGTACCTCCACTGTGGCTCAGCAACATCAGGTAAATAAACAAAACACAGACTCCTCTCAGAAGTGGATGGTTAATGTTCAGTAATTATAATTTTGCTGGAACACTGGATTGTAATCACCTTATGAGATCTGCGATGGTAAATTTCACAAGCAAAAACTTTAATTAGGGGGTTATATTACCAGAGCTGTACAAAATAAATATGCAATATGTAAAAATAATTAGAGCAGCTACCTGAATAATCTCGCTTCAATTATAAGATTCATCTGTGTTGGCCTCTCAGCTCCTAAACTCTTCAATTAGAATGTTTTTAAGCAAACACATGTCTCTTGTGGTCTAATATCTTCAGACAAGGAAGTCAGCTATCATCTAGCCAAGAAACACACCATCACACACACAAAAAACCCCCACAGATAATACTGAAAGATACTATCGACCCTACCATAAAAGCATCAAAACTTTGATCCATTAATTCACACAGGAAAAAGTTATTGAGTGTATCTCCATAAAATCACCACGCTAGGCTCTTGGATGATACCAAGATGAAATTGGTGTGGAACCTTCTAGGTGAGGAAACATGGGTGTGTTCAGCAGACCACTTCTCAGGATGCTAATACATGTCCGTGGTAGGGAAGATGGGAAGTTTGTGGTCAAGTAAGTATGGGAAACACTGAGTGCAACAAAACTATGTGAGCTCTTTACCTTGGGGGTTCTTAGACCCTTTAAAATATTCCCACACACTGCCCCCACCCCCACGAGTCATTTGTTCACAGAGTACCCACCAGGCTAGCGTCTCATGGAACACACTTTGAGAAACATTATTCTGACCAACTAATCCCAAAGCAGCATATGAGTGTTACAAGAAACAGAGGAGGGTGAGCAGAACTGCTGGTAAATTTTTTTAACAACCAGGTTTCCAAAGAGGGAAAACAGAAGCCCTGGTTTGCACATTTCCATGGTGTAAATACTTCCGCCATGGCTGATTTCAAGCAACCAGCATGACATCACGGAACACAGAGCTGGGAAGAAATGCACGCAATACTCTAGCAATCTAAGGAAGTTCAGGGAGAAAAAGCTAATTCCCCTTTGGGAGAAGAGCAGGCAAGGAGAAAGCAGCTTGTGCTAATCCATTCCCTTGACCCAGTCTGACTTTTCTGGTGACAACAGCCCAGAGTTCAGTATAAGCTGAGGTAGCCAGGAAGAATTAGAAGTTGCTGTCTGAAAAACAACATTGCTGTTAAAGGATCTGCAGGCCTTCTTGTGAGGAGTACTCAGCCCACCTTGAAGATTCTGTCACCTCAAGCCTAATTCATCCGTGAAATGTGACTGCTGTGTTCGGCATCTGTAAGAGCCTAGCGTAGGGCTCCCGTGCGTGGGGGAGGCCAAGAGGGAGCCCCCAGAGCGAAACCACAGGGTAGAGTGACCAGTATGGATCTGTGGTGCTTACCTGCCTGGCTTTTTGATAAATGACCCCAAATTTGAATGTGTTGTTGACATCGTGCTCATCATAGGACACAATCATTTGGGAGGCCTGGAAAAATGTAGAAAGAAAAAAATCAGATTGTTGATTAACTTAGAGACAAGTGAGGAAGCAAATGGAAGGGAAAGCACCCATTCTGGCGGAGAATATGCCCCCCTGGTGTGAGACCTCCACGTATGTGCAGCGAGGCAAAGGAGAAGCCAGAGGTCTCAGCTAGTTCCCAGACCTGGGCTCCCCCATGGTGGCCACACCTCTGGATCACCATTCCATTCCCATCCAGATGTGCCAGCCAAGGCCTGGGCACACAGGGACTTACCCAGTGCTTTACCTGTGGTGTAAAAAGTAAAGGACCCTGAAACTGGCCAGCAAGGATGACACTGGCTCTAATTACACCTCTGATCAGCAGTACGATTTGGAGCAAGGCACAGCTCGTGCCCAGACTCCAATCCCCCTTTATCCATGAAGTGAAGGTCTCTAAGGAGGAACATACAATATGCAAGGGCCGGGGTGGGGGGGTAGAGAAGAACCCTGACCACTGCTTCTGTTTAGTTTTCTATTGTGCCTCAGTGTTGGTGTCCAGGGCTCAGAAACACTAAAGTCTGTATCTTGAATCCACTGCTTCTACCTGGATAGCTTCGAGTGAACTACTTTACTTCTCTGGGTCTCAGTTTTCTCATCCATTAAATGGAGATGTGTGGTTGTGAAGATTCAGTAAGACCAGGCACATAAAGTGCTGAGAACAGAGCAGGTATCACCATCCTCATCCTCATCATCTACAGAACCCTCCAGAAAGATCAGAGCTAAACCAGCTTGTTAGGAAAGAGGAGACTTAGGCATTATTGGGATAGTCTCTACAGTAAAAAGGAGGGATCTGACCATGTGTTACACAACAGGAAGAACAAACTGTCTGGTCGGAATATGCAACCCAAGTGAGGCTCTCCGCTGCCCAAGGAAATCAGCACTTCTCAGCTCCCCGGGAATAGCACGGCTGCCCAACCCCAGAGGGAGACCCCACGCCCACATGCAATGGTCAAAAGTGCAGAGAAACTGTCCTGCCAGGGAAGAGGCATCCGGCCACGGAGACCCTCCACAGAAGGTTCTAAACTCTGTGAATTCTAAGCACACATGCCTCAGCCAGATTAACACCCCAGCTGGACTAAGCAGTCCTTCAAACATAGAAAACATGAAAATACAGCTGCTCTTCCATTATTACCAGAGCCGGAGGGTTTCCAAGTCACAGAAAGAACTGTGCAAATGAGTGTCACCAGCTTCTCTCAGTGGACAGGATTTGACGACAAAATTTGCCAAACTTGTAGTTAAGTAAGGCCTTTATGACAGGGTTTTAATGTTTGGTTAAACCTCACTAATTCAGCTTTAATTATAAAGGGAAGGGAGGTCTGAATGAAAGAAAATGCTCCATGGTGGGCAGCTTATTACTGGGGAGAGCCTACAGATGCTCAGAGGGTGTCTGAGACAGGGGGCTCTGGCACATTCCTTGTGCAGGCGAGGACCCTGCCATTAGCTCGGCCACGGCACGGGAAGAACGGTGTCGAGCACAATCATGAACGTTCAAGCCACTGGTTCCAGGGGGTTCTGGATGTCTCGGCCAGGGCAGGGCCTCTCTTCCCCAGCAGACGTCGCACCTCGCCGTCCCTTGCTACCAGCAGTGGGGCACAGTGGGGCGCAGTGGGGCACAGGGGGCAGACTGGGCCAGCCCCAGGAGCCTCCGCGGCCACCGTGTCGGCACGCGGTGTGGGCTCAGAAGCACAGCGGGCTTCCGCTTCTGGCTCCCCGGACCCTGCAGGCTCATGAAGACGCAGTCTGCGCCCTGGCTCTCTTCCTGAGGCCAATTTAGAGCAATTCGCTGTCGTGAGTGATTGAAGTCCTGTCATGCCACAACTGTTCTTGAGTGGGCTTGCTGGCTTGCTTTGTTATTACTGCTCCTCTGCCCACCCGCACTCCCACAGTGGGGGTCAAGTCCAGGCCAATCCTGAGGAAACCGACAAGAGAACCAGCCTGTTTATTAACTAGGGCTGTGCAGGGGCTTGTACGGGCTCAGCGCTGCAGTAACACGGGCAGGCGGGAGCCACGATCTGGCCTTTGATTTCTTAGTGGGGTTCTGCCCCCCTTACACCTCCATGATGGCAGACCGGATCTGCGCTAACTCTCTAGCTATAGGGTAGACTCACTCCCCACCCCAGATGGGTCTCAGGGAAGTACGACCAGAGTAGGGGGGAGAGGTCACAACACTGCAGCCCCTCTACCACCTCTACAACAGATGCAGAACTGTTTAGGTGGGTCTCTCCCCAGGCATGGCCAAGGACAGGTTCCCAGGGGACCCATTTGCACAGGGGCGAGCTGGAAGAGGGGGAGACATGGAGGTCTCAAAACCCCACCAAGATGCACAGGACATTCCACAGAGCCACAGGCATGCAAATCTGTGCCAAGTGACAGAGCCCTGGGTAAGGGGAGAAGGTGAAGGTCCTCACCTTGGGGTACAGGACAGGGTTGAATTTCAGCCCCACAGCGTCATCACAGAAAGCCTAAGCAAGAAGAAAGAGACACACAGTTCAGGGGTCATTTCCACTGAAAACATCTGGGCTGTTCTGCCCACCAGGAGAAAGAGCATGGGAGGGCAGGCCCTGTGGGGTCAGAAGGCCTGGGGCTGAACCCTGGCTCTGCCACTCACTAACAAGTGGCCAGGAAAGCCAACTCACCTTCCCGGGGCTTCCTGATAAAGTGAGGCCACAGAAGGCATTCGGCACAATCCTGCTTGGCATGTGGGTCCGAACCAACTGACCATCCTTCTCACCCCACTGGACTCAGTTCTCAAGTTCCCAGTATCCCAGAGCAGAGACACGGGTCCCTCCACCAGCTGACGGACAGCTCCTTACTCAAAGGGGTCCTCTGTCTGGACCAACAGCCCGGCCATCCTCCAGCCCATCTCTCCTCTGCTGTGAAGGCTCCCTGGCCACCCCATCCCTTCCTCCTCTCAAGTCCTACAGCACTCTCCATAGCCAGCCCTTTCTTTCCATTTCTCTGGTCCCCTAAACCAGCTATGAGCCTGGGGGCAGAGGCCATCAGCAGCCTCAGCTGTGAGGATGAGATGGGGAAGTTGCAGGGAAGACGAGGGCATCTGCCAATAGCCCTCCTCCACCCCATCTACACCGTCAAGGGCCAAGGAGTACGGTGGCCTTCCCCTCTCCAAGGGCAGAGCCCTCTCAGGACAAGCCTGTACCCTCCCCATCCCAGCCCTGGGCTAAAAGAGGAAGCTAGCTTCTCACAAAGGCTGGTTGTTACCTTTGCAATCTGAGGGACGCTGGGCAACTTGCTCAGTCCGGCCAAGGGGATCCTCTCGTGAACTGTCTTCACTTTGGACCTGCACACGTGAATGAGGGTGAGAAAAGGAGTCCATTAGGAAAGGGGCTGAGATCATGCCAGACCACAAGGCACACTCGCTTTCTCCCCGGGTCAGATCTGCCGCGTTTCACCCAACCCGTGAGTGGGGCGTCACACTCAAATGGTGGGAAAATGGAATCTTGTCCTTATCCTGGAGGATACAGAGGTCTGGTAGAGCCTCTGCAACTGAGATATGGGACGTGCAGAGAGTCACCTTCAAGTTCACCATGAATTTTTGGGTTGCTGTGGGGATTTTTTTGTGTTCTCCCAAAGAACCGGGCACATCTTCTGGATAGATGTGTGTTCTCACATGCAATTAAGCATTTATGAAAAGAAAATCTAATACTTGAAAATCTGGATTTAGTCAAAATATAAATGGGATGAAAGTTGCTTTATAAAGGGATTCACCGTAAGACTCTAAATTTAGCCTGTTCCCCTGATTCATTTAGCACATTATGAAAGTGTTGAATTTTACTGAATGCTTTCCTGCATCTGCTGAGATAGTCATATGGTTTTTAATCTGTTAACCTGGTAGATTACATTTCTGTTGAGCCATCTTTCCGTTCCATGGGGTAAAACTCGCTTGCTTATGATGTATTATTTTTTCATATCCTGCTGACTTTAATTTGTTAATATTTTATTGAGAGTTTCACATCAATAGTGACACTGGCTTTTTTTTTTTTTTCTTGTACTTCTCTTGTCAGGTTTTGATATCAAGGTGTTATCCCAGCCTCAAAATTGCTGGGTAGCTTCTGAACCTCTGAATTAGTCTGTATACCCCACAGGGATTTACTGTTCCTTAAAGGTTTGCTAAAACTCATCTGTGAAATCTCTGGGCTTGCTTTTTCGTGGGGGAAGGATACCTTTGGCTACCAATTCAGTTTATTTAACAGTGAATATTTAGGTTTTCTACTGCTTCTTGAGTTAGTTCAGTAATTTATGTTTTTCTATATAATTATCCAATAGTGCACTGATATAGAATGGGTTTTGGTATTCTCTTAGGAGTTAATCTGCACTTATAATCACACCCCTCCCATCACTGTCATAACATGATCTGTTTGTATCTTTTCTCTGTTATGCATAATCAGTCCTTGATGGGGGTGTTCCTATTTTATTAATCTTTCCAAAGAGACAACTTTTGGTTTTGTCGTCTCCATTCTTTTTTATTGTTGCTTTCTACTTCACTAGCCTTGTTGTCTTTTTTATTTCCTTCTTTTCTATTTCCTTTGGGTTTTTTTCTATTGTTCTTTTTCCAATTTCTTGACCTGCATGCTTACACAGTTAATCTTTCTTCTTTTTTACACATGCATTTAAAACTATACATCTTGGGGGCGCCTGGGTGGCTCAGTTGGTTGAGCGACTGCCTTCGGCTCAGGTCATGATCCTGGAGTCCCTGGATCGAGTCCTGCATCGGGCTCCCTGCTCAGCGGGGAGCCTGCTTATCCCTCTGACCCTCCCCCCTCTCATGTGCTCTCTCTCTCTCATTCTCTCTGTCTCAAATAAATAAATAAAATCTTTTAAAAAAATAAAATAAAAAATAAAACTATACATCTGTCTCTCTAAGTACCACTTGAACTGCATCCCACACATTGATAGGTAGTATTTTCACTGTCATTCAGTTCTAAATATTTTGTCAGTTCTTCTGTGATTTCCTCTTTAGTCCATGAGTTATTTAAAGGGTCTCCTTCTTTTTTTTACTTTCTAAATGTATGATCTCTTCCTTCAGTAACTGTTAATTTCTCACTTAATTTTCCCAAGTTCAAAGAACATAATCTGTATGCTAATTATTTTAGATCTGTTAACTTACTACACAGACTTTTTTCATGTACTATGTGGGCTTAAAAACAATGTATTTTTGTTTTGTTTTGTGAGTTCAGGAATGTATGTTACAAGATCAGATTTGTTAACTGTATTGTTCAAATCTTCTACATATTTACAATTGTCTGCTTGTTCAATCAGCATCTGAAAGATGTTGCTAAAATCCAATATAACTGAGAATTTGTCTATTATATTCCTATCTGTTTTGGTCTTTTTAAATTCAAGACTGTATTACTAAGTACAATTTCATGACTGTTAGATCTTCTGAGAGGACTGTTCTCTTTATCGTCCTGTGGGCTGAGCCTTCTGTGGGTCCAGTAAAGTGCATTTTTCTCTGCCCAGGTAATGAACAGATTCAGAAACAAAAAAATTAAGAGTAAGGTGGTTACAATAGCCAAACTCTGGAAAGAGCCAAGATGTCCATCAACAGATGAATGGATAAAGAAGATGTGGTATATATATACAATGGAATATTATGCAGCCATCAAAAGGAATCAGATCTTGCCATTTGCAATGACGTGGATGGAACTGGAGGGTGTTATGCTGAGCGAAATAAGTCAATCAGAGGAAGACATGTATCATATGACCTCACTGATATGAGGAATTCTTAATCTCAGGAAACAAACTGAGGGTTGCTGGAGTGGGGGGTGGGGTGGCTGGGTGATAGACACTGGGGAGGGTATGTGCTCTGGTAAGTGATGTGAATTGTGCAAGACTGTTGAATCACAAATCTGTACCTCTGAAACAAATAATGCAATATATGTTAAGAAAAAAAAAAAAGAAGAAAGCAGGAGGAGAAGAATGAAGGGGGGGAAATCGGAGGGGTAGACAAACCATGAGAGACGATGGACTCTGAAAAACAAACTGAGGGTTCTAGAGGGGAGGGGGTGGGAGGATGGGTTAGCCTGGTGATGGGTATTGAGGAGGGCACATTCTGCATGGAGCACTGGGTGTTATGCACAAACAATGAATCATGGAACACTACATCTAAAACTAATGATGTAATGTACGGTGATTAACATAACAATAAAAAATTTTTAAAAAACTAATGATGTAATGTATGGTGATTAACATAACAGTAAAATTTTAAAAAAAAAAGAGTAAGGTGGTTAAAAGGCAAAATAACCCCTTTGTTACTGATAAAGGCCACCCAGTTTAGTGTAAAGATGAAATGGGTCTTCTAACTAAACCCCAAGATTGTCCTCCAGGTAACAGGTGCTGCTGGGCAAGACGCAAGCCTCGTCTGGAGGGGTCGGCTCCAGTGGGACCTCCAGCACAGGGAAGCAGAAGGCACTGCCGAGGGTAGCCAGCTCCCAGAGGGAAAACGGAAAGACCACACACACACACACACACACAAAGGGGATATTATTCAGCGATAAAAAGAATGAAATTTTGCCATTTACAATGACACGGATGGAGCTAGAGAATATAATGCTAAGTGAAACAAGTCAAAGAAAGACAAATACCATATGATTTCACTCATATGTGGAATTCAAGAAACAAAACAATTGAGCAAAGGGAAAGAGAGAGAGAGAGAGAGAGAGAGACAAACCAAGAAACAGCCACTTAACTCTAGAGAACAAACTGATGGTGATCAGAAGGGAGGTCGGTGGGGGGATGGGGGAAATAGGAGATGGAGACTAAGGAGAGCACTTGTGATGAGCACAGGATGATGTACACCAGAAACTAATATAACACTGTATGTTAACAATACTGGAATTAAAACAATCTTAATTTTTAAAAACAATGGTAAAGAGGAAAATAAAAGAATAAAGCTGTATTTTAGTTCAATTTCAGTCTGCTAATCTGCTATACTCATATGGTAACTTTATTTATATTTATTGTGATTACTAATGTATTTGGAATTATTTCTATTATTTTGTATTTTCTATTACTCTGCACTTTCTTTCCTTTTTAAAACTCCTCCTTTCCTGCCCTCAGTTTAAATAAAAAAAAAAAAACTCTCTTTATCCCTCTGCTCGTTTGAGCTATGGATTGTATGTCTATAACTTCCAATCACATATTTATACATTTTCCTACAACCTCTAAACTCACTTGCTGTGTCTTTTCTGATGAGGGAAGAGGAAACAGTAACTTAGGAAACTCTTCCCTCCCCATTGTGCTTCCTACTTCTGTTGGGTTCAAGACTCTTTTTATTTATTTTTAATTTTTTTATTTAAATGCAATTAATTAACATTAATGTATTATTGGTTTCAGAGGTACAGGCCTGTGATTCATCAGTCCTTTTTTTTTTTAATTTAAAGATTTTTATTTATTTATTTATTTGAGAGAGAGAATGAGACAGAGAGAGAGAGCATGAGAGGGGGGAGGGTCAGAGGGAGAAGCAGACTCCCTGCTGAGCAGGGAGTCCGACACGGGACTCGATTCCAGGACTCCAGGGTCATGACCTGAGCCGAAGGCAGTCGCTTAACCAACTGAGCCACCCAGGCGCCCCTCATCAGTCTTATATAACACCCAGTGCTCATTACAAAACATACCCTCCCCAATGTCCAGCACCCAGTGACCCAAACCCCCCACCCCTCTCCCCTTTGGCAACCCTCAGCTTGTTTCCTATGATTAAGAGTCTCTTATGGTTTGTCTCCCTCCCTGGTTTCATCTTGTTTCATCTTTCCCTCCCTTCCCCTATGATCCTCTGTTTTGTTTCTTAAATTCCACATATCAGTGAGATCATATGATAATTGTCTTTCTCTGATTGACTTATTTCGCTTAGTATAATACCCTCTAGTTCCATCCATGTCATTGCAAATCAAGCCTCTTTTTAAACACACAAAAATTACTTCCTTTCTCATGGTTCGTCTACCCCTCCGATTTTCCCCCTTCATTCTTCCCTTCCTACCTTTTTTTTTTTTAACATATATTGCATTATTTGTTTCAGAGGTACAGATCTGAGATTCAACAGTCTTGCACAATTCACAGCGCTCACCAGAGCACATACCCTCCCCAGTGTCTATCACCCAGCCACCCCATCCCTCCCACCCCACCCCCCACTCCAGCAACCCTCAGTTTGTTTCCTGAGATTAAGAATTCCTCATATCAACCATGAGAGACGATGGACTCTGAAAAACAAACTGAGGGTTCTAGAGGGGAGTGGGGAGGGGGGTAGGAGGATGGGTTAGCCTGGTGATGGGTATTGAGGAGGGC